TTAAAATATCTGAAGACAGCAGATAATACCAGAACTGGTTCTAAACAGAACACAGAAGTGCCTCAAGAATACAAGTGTGAAATAAAAGATAAAATATCAGAGCAAAGACAGAGACAAGTGCTCAGTAACTATGATGATGACATGTCAGGCTGTAGAAGGGGAGAAGTAGCTGGAAATGCAGCAGACACCATGTTTAAAAATGTCTCAGTGCAGAATGCAGAGGAGTGCCGAAAGCTTTGCGTCACATGACATGCCTCTGGTTCCCAGGGGTGAACTCCTTGGCATTTGGGTTCAGGCTGCTGTTAATCTACAGAAAACAATTTAAACCAAATCAGAATCAGGCTAACAAGAGAATGCTAAGGATTACAAAGACACCTTGAACTCACTGCAACATCAATGTTGAAGTCCTCTTCTTCATAGATGTTATCAATAGCGAGCAGGCTGATCTGATCTTGAAGCTGAGTGACACCCTGAAGTGGTAGGTCCCTGGAGGGAATAAACCACTCCCATTGTTCCTCCTCCTCCAACATCTCCTGAAAACAGCGCTCGATAAACTCCTCTTCCCACAGCTCCTCCTCCACCTGGATAAACACACAATGCCATTTATTTATTTGATAAATAATAGTGCTAGTAGCCTCCAAGCTACAATGGAATGTCCTATGAGATGAGTCCAAAGCAGCGAATATCACAACTAATTTCATTTACAGATTCATCATTTTACACCAAGTGTCCTACCAAACATGACACCCTTTTCAATTAAAATGATTGGATCTCTGTTACACTGTGATCGGCAGTAAAGGTATATGTATATTGAAATAACACTCATTTGTTTTCTCTCCACAGAAAAGTCAGCATTTTATGACATATATGCTCCATGTTGTGTTATTGTTAGCATTTACCGTACTTTTTAAAGGTTATTAATTAAACCTGAAGTTTCATTTTAACACTTTCCATTTGATTTAATGTTTTATTCTGTGGGCGTACCCATGTTTACTTCCGGTTATGTTGTCATGTCTTACTTTGTCACATGATTGGACTTTGTCTCGCTTTGTTTGCTTGACACTGACTTTTTCCTCCTCGTCACGGTTAACAACAGCATCCCCAACCGTATGATACTCTGACCTCACCTGTCTATTAAACTCCTCCTCGTTCTCCATCCACAAGTACTCAGCGAAAGGGTCTTGGTCAGAGGAAGACTGACCACTGAGGATAAGCTCGGTGATGATCGCCATGTTCGACCCTGAAATACTGCTTCTGAGTCCTGGATCTTTCATTACCCGCTTCACAGAGCAAAAAGTGACGCCGCTTCAGGGTCACCTGCAACGTACATAGACAATGAGAACAATGCTATGATGGGTTAGCTTTTCCTTTTCACTACAAAAACTACAACCTAATTCACTCATAACAACACACATCCATCACAGAAGCGAAATATTATTTTAGGGTATTGTCCTAGTTTATTACTACCTGAATTTAACGGCTTGTTTTCCCGGAATCAACACCCTCCAACACTGTAATGGCTGCCGTGCTTCTGTTTGTTTACATCTAACACGTCACTCTAATTTCTGTTCGGTGATTGGACAGACGAACGTGCTGCATTCACGAACCACTCATCAAGTTATGTCTTTCTTCCTTTCTTTCTTTCTTCCCTTTTTTCTTTCTTTCTTTCTTTCTTTCTTTCTTTCTTTCTTTCTTTCTTTCTTTCTTTCTTTCTTTCTTTCTTTCTTTCTTTCTTTCTTTCTTTCTTTCTTTCTTTCTTTCTTTCTTTCTTTCTTTCTTTCTTTCTTTCTTTCTTTCTTTCTTTCTTTCTTCATCCATCGGTCGGGCTGTGCGAAACGCACGAACATTGATTAAATCTCGCGATACCTTCGTGACCCAACGTTACGCTGTTCATGTACATTGTCAGGTGGTGTTTGGCTTGGTTGTGAGCAACGCATCAAGGTAAAAAAAACTTTATTAAATATGTCGTAACAAAGATTAATGTTTCGTTATTATATATGTACATCTTAAAGCATTTCCCACGGAAGTTAAAACCGTAGACGCTGAATAAACCCCGCTGAATTGTTGCTAAATGACGTAAGTATACCAGTGCTAGCTAATGCCATAGCAAGCAGGCCTTTGCTAACGTTAGCATCGTAGTGTGCGTCACAACGTACATGGTTCTTCTTGATTTCTTTACACACTTGCACACCTTAGTTGAATAATCTGGCAAGTAAACGACATTATTCTAAAAACTGGATTTAATTTGGCATATCCTGCTAAACGTTACAATCCATTACGAAAGCAGCACTAATAGCTTAACAGCTAACGCATGCTTAACTCCTGTTAATGCACTGCATTACATATTTCTTACAAATCTTTTTGGGAGACCGATAAAGATACAAACCCATTTTTGAAGTGCTCTTAAATGACAAATTATGTAAGAGCGTGTGTTACACGAAATCATATTGTGAAAGCATAGTATTTATGGCCAACAGTACATGTTTGTAGGAGATCCTTTGACATTCACGATGTTTATTGTTTAAATTTATTGTTTATTCTCTGGTAAAACAAATACATGTATGATTACAAGTTGCTGAAGAAAAGAGATTTCTTATCAGACACCAAATATGCTCAAAATGGCAAGAAGTTATAGAGGGCACCTTTTTTTTCTCAAATCACTTAAATCTATAACATCAAATTTAAAACAACAATTTTATCTTTTTTCACTTTGGATGTTTGTCATTCTATGCCTTACTTCCACATATTTTTCTTCCCTCTCATTTACAGTGAACATTTCGATCTTTAAATCCTTTCCAGTCTCCTTTAACTGTGTCATGTCCCAATAATTATTTCAGCACACACCTGCTCAGTTGACTCAGTTTCATTCCTCCTTTCATGCATCTTTGGCTCAGTCAGTGCACCTCTTGACTGACTTCTATTTCCATGGTGGAGGCAGCTTTTGAAGACGTTTCTCTCTACCTCATTGTTGTGTTTCAGCTGATATCAGACGCTCTCCAGAGAGGAAGAGGAGTTGCACCTTACTTTGACCACATTAGGACATCGAACTTTCTATTATCCTTTAAGAACAGACACTTGTTTTTGTGTGCAGCCAAATTTGTTCTTTTATCTTGATTCACCTGTACTGTGGCTGCAGCAATACGACGTCACCTCATGTCTCAGCAGTTGCAGCCAGACAGTGGTCAGAAACTCTTCACTGTGGGTCGGGGGCTCCTCGCTGCTGCGGAGACCTTGAACTTTAGCATGAATGAGCAAAGATCTAGTCGACAGATGGGGGGCATGGGCTCTGGCATTGGGGTGGGCAGTGGTGGCGGCGGCATTGAGGGCCAAGAAGGCAGTGCTCCGATGCCCAGACATGGAGGGAGTAGTGGAAGTGGCAACAATCTTGGCAGCACCATGAAGCTGTTTGCCAGTTTGGGGCTGTCACCTTCAGACCTGGATGCTTTGGCTAAAATCCCAGAAGAGGAAATCAGTGTGGAGACTCTGCCCAAAATCCTCAGGCAGCTCAAGAACCGCAAGAGTGAAACAGGAGAGCGGCGACAGGCATCTTCAATGTCTTCTGATGCTGCATATCGAAGCAGCAGGGAAGGATGGGATGACATGCATGCGGGGAGAATGGGTGATCTTTCTATGAGTCAGGGGTCGGGTCGTGTCCAGTCCTCTGCTGACTTTGGGTACAGTTCCCTGCAGGACGTCTCCTCCAGTCGTAGCTATGACTTAGACTATGGCAGTGGCAATGGCAGTGTGGGTGGGGGCAGAGAGAGGTCATTTTCTGACCTGTCCCATCGTGATTCTGTTGGTTTGCTGGGAATGGCGCCGCCATCGTCGGACTCTCTTTATTCACACCGGCGGGTGGGTTGCCCATCCAATGGAAAAATCCAAGACTTCTTGGGCGTCACACCCACTATGTTCCCTCACGTGTGCTCTCTTTGTGATTTTGACGTTCACTCCTTAATGGTGAGTACCAGCAAAATTCCTTCTTCTCCTTTTGGACTAACTTTAAATGTTTCTGTTCAGGCAAACCTGAGCTCACCTGGTATTTTGTCTATGTCAAATTTACTCTCTGCATCACTTCCTTAGGGCCGTCGTCAACTTGTAGCATGTCCACACAGTCACAGCAGTCTGATCTGATTCTCCAAAGCTTCTTTGAAACTTCTTTTTCCATCAGATCACTTTTAGATAAACATTCATTCAGTTAAATCATATTTTCACAACCATGTTATATTCGCAAATGTCCCCAAAATGTTTTTTTTTTTTGAAACAGGGCATTTCTTTATGAGCATTGTTTTCTGTCTGATCATAAGAAACCACAGTCCAGCTAAAGACTAAGTGTTTTTTTGCGTGACGTTTGTCTTTTTTATTCATTACGCCAGTGTAACAGTTAAGTGTTGAATTATTCCAAAGAAAAAGAAAAGACATCTAAAAGTGGACTCTTAAGTGTACAAATCTTGCCTTTCCAGATTTTAATTTTTGTCCCCATTATAAAGTCTCTTAGTTTATAAAGGATAAGTTACACATGTTACAAATTGCACATCTAGTGCTGACTTTCTTGTCTCCTCTTAAAACTACAACTTAAAAAACCTGAACTATCCCTTTAAACACTAAGACTTAGTGGTATCAACAATATGGCTTGGTTGTGTATGTAGGAGTGGAACCAACACATAAATGGACTTCGACATGCAGAAACCAAACGACAACTTCTTGACTTGTGAGTATTTGATGAAGTCATTGTTGACATCACTCCTGCCTTAACAGGCTATTATCTAAACTCTGCACTGTTTTGTTCAGGTACCCAGACTGGGATCCTGGAATGTCTTCAGGAAGAGGGTAAAGATTAAAGACACGCATAAACACACAAAACTCCACTCTTGGCAATTGTGGAATAACGTTTAATCTTTTTCCGGAAGGGGTTTACTGGAAACCCCTAACATGTCTCCTGGACTGCTTGGACCTGCCCCCATGTCTGCATCCAGAGCAGGAGGCGGAATGTCATCCAGTTGGGGTAAGAGACATATTTCTCTATTTTTCCTCCTCATCCCATCTGTATACTCCTTCATTGTCTTTTCTGCTACTCCTTATGTTCCTAATCTCCTGTTATCTTCTGATGTTGTACTCTTCTTTTTTTTTTCACTTTGTATTTCACACTTTCTCCTTCATTTTTATATGTTCTTGGCTTTTTTCATGATTCTGTATCCTTCTCTGCTTCCTCATCATTTCCTTGTCTCTTGCTTCTATTCATCAAATAAACAGTTGTCCCTCTTGTACCTTGTATCTTTAAACAGTGCTGTGTCTTTCAGGTCAAGGTTTCTAATGTAACATGTCATTTTCTTTTATATCAGGAGGAGGTGGAGCTTCAAGTATGTCAAGTAACAGCCAAATGGAAAACAAGGTAAGCTTCCTCTGTTCCTTTTACATGGCTCAATGATTGATTACTGGTCTATTGCCAACATTGGTTCAAGTACTTTTTTTTCTTTAGATAAGAACCAGAGTGGTGATTGCCAGATTCAGTGTCAAACTACCTAGCAACCAGGCTCTGTTTGCCTTTGTTGAGCCCTTTGGCGTCCTGAGGGACCATGTGGTACTGAAAAGCAAGGTAACTTTTGCCCGTCGATGTCTCCTCATGTTCAAACAGAATCTAATGATGGATGTAAATATTAAATATTAGTGATTTTTTTTTTAAATTTGTTTTTCCTGTCACTGTTAGGCCTTTTTAGAAATGAGCAGTCCTACGGAGGCGCAGGATATGGTCAACTACTACAATCAACACCCTGCGTTTTTACATGGAAAACCAATTTTCTTTCAATTGTCCAGTAATCTGCAGTTTATTGAGGTAATGTTTACCCAATAAAAATTAAGTGAATAAAAAAAAACTACATGAAATAATTTTATAAATTTCTTTTTGACCCTTAGAAAGACAATCGGCCACCGGACATGCTGATGGACAGACCTGTGCGGGATCTCAGAACTCAGGGGAGTCAAGTGGTTTTCTTCTCTAATCTGCCCAAAGAGGATGAGAAGAAGCGGGAACTTCTAACCATTGCCAGGCGTTTTGGTGTTGTTGAGAAACATCTGTTTTTAACTGACCAGGTGAGTGCGAGTAGGCTTTGCTTTCTCCTTCTCTCATGATTCAGAATGATCATTGTGATTAAAAAAAAACATCTGTGAATCTGAGCAATCACTAAGTGAGTTTGCTGTTTCTCTTCAGGCATTTATTCAGCTGGGTTCGCCCCAAGATGCGGAGATGCTAGTAAAGTACTACACCATGAACCCGCTTACCATCAGAGGGCGCCCTATTCGCCTCAACATTTGTGCCAAGTACAAAACACTGAAGTGAGTACTTTGAAGTTAGGTCCTGTTCTAAGAAATTAGACTTCTTATTTTAAATTTGTAATGACTGCAAACCAAAGTTTGTATTTTATATAGTCACAAATGTGACTCTCTAGGAGTTGTTGAACTGCATCATGTAAATATCCAAAAGCTCTTAACAGCAGAAAACTGCAGTTTGTAAACTTGTAGTTCTATTACTTAACACAAACTTTACTCTTGAGTAAACAAATTTACTTACTTTTCATTAATTCGCTCAACTGTATTCATTGTTTTAGAATTTTACCTTTGAGAGTGTGTTGACTTTTAAATGTATATCTTGCCATTTTAACTTTGCATCTTTGATCAGAATTATAAAATATTAAATATAGTGTTTTAATGCAGCTCTAAATACATAATCTGTTTTTCTCAGTGTGAATCGTAGAATGGGTGGTTCCGCTGGAGACGGTCGTAGAAACAGGAGTGATGGTGGTACCTCCTCGTACAATTCAGGTTCCAGAACTTCATCCAATTCCAGGACATCATTGCAAAGATCTCCATCCAGCACCAGGAATAGGGAGGAGGAGAAAAAGAAGAGGGACGTAGAGGAGAAGGTGAAAGAGAAAGCTGGAGTTATGGAGGGAGATAATGTAGAGGAGGGGAAGGAGAAAGTAACTGATGGAGACAAAAAGGTTGAAGAGTCAGAAGGGGCAGAGTCAGTAGAGGGCTCCGTGGAGTCTTCGTGTGAAATTAAGAAAGAACAGGTGAGAGGAAACAAAGCTTGACATAAAGTGTGACTAATATTGTAACAATGAAAATTAAAAGGTGAGACCTTTGCAGGTATCAAATGAAGAAGATGACACAAGAAATGAAACATCTGAACGAGTCGAAGATGGAACAGAACAGGTGATTGAGTCAGAGGGAAGAATTGAGCTGACAGAAGATGACCACGAGAACAAAGAAGCATCTTCAGAAGCAGGAGAAAGTTTGGATGAGACCAAGGAGGAGCGACCTGCTGAAATGGTACTAAAACAAATGTGTGAAAAGTTCTCAAGGTGAGGAAAAAATACCAATCTCCACAAATCAAAGGCTGATTGAATTTTACTACAGTGTGAACAGGACTTCTCTGAGAACATGGAGGACTTTGTGACGCTGGATGAGCTTCCAGAGGACGAAGATGAGGAGCTAGAAAGTGCTGATGCATGTGGTGTGTGAACACAAGAAGATCAAGCTTATATTCAGTCACACACAGATAGTAAATAATAAGGGATGTTTTAAAATTAATTGATTATAGGTCAGGTTTAATTACTAAGAACAGTTTTGTCTTTTTTTTGCAGACAACACAAGAAAGGGGGTGAGTCTCAAAACCTTTGTTGTTTTTCTTTTCTGGACAAAATTGCATTTGAAAATGTTTGGAAAAGTAATTTGGAAATGTATGAAATGACTTTTTTTTTTATTTCTTGAAAATGGAAACAGTTATTAAACATACTATATATATATATATATATATATATATATATATAAATATATGATAATGGGGTCCTGAGTGAAGTTCTATACAATATACTCTACTATAAATTTGGTATTTGTAATGAATGGTCTTGTATAACTTAAAATAAATGATTTTTTTTTTTTACACTTGTCTTTAGGGAATGCGTGTGGTGAATATTGTGGGTTTCCGCCGAGGTTACAACTTCCGCAATGAGCTACTGAGACTCGCAGAACCATTTGGGAAAGTCATCAAACATCTGGTGCTGGACTTACGTACTGAGGTACAGAAGCAACGGAATGTTAACAAGTTGAGAAAAACAATAATGATAATGTAGCTGGACAACATCTGTTAATGTGTACAAACTCAAAGGTAACCATAGCACAAAAACATTGCTTACAAACACATTTGTTCCACTATGTGGAAAAAGGTAAAACCTTGTCATATATTCTTAGGATTTTAGTGCCTTGTTTATAACAATAAGTAACTTGTGTATGTACATGTGCGTGCTTCTGTCTTTGTGTATGGTTAGGCTTTCCTTCAGTTTGCGACTGAAGATGAAGCTCGTGCCATGGCCAAGTTTTACAACAGTAACGTGACGGCGTCCGTTTGTGGCCGACCTGTCAGGATAAGTCACTCCATGACTTACCCAACCATCCAGGTGGCCATCACTACTTCTCCTACGAAGTTTTCTTTCAGTACATTTGGCTGTTTGAGTTATTTTGGTCTCCATGGTGTCGTAATCTCTTCTCTGTTTGGGGATGTCAGTGTGGCTCCAGCAGGGTCGTTTACATCGGGCAGCTCCCCACAGGAAACTACTCACACGAGGAGATCCTGAAGTTTGCAGAGCCATACGGAAAAGTCAGAAAGTATTTTCTCAACCGGATCAAAAGAGAGGTGTGAAAACTAATTTCGTAGTTGCTCAGTTGTTAACAGAATTTTCATTTATACAGCACAGAGCTGTAATTAGACAAAACTAGATGTTCTGTTCTTATTATTACGTAATTTAGAATATAATTTTAAAGAAAACAATGTGTTTGTTTTTGATTTTCACTTTAGACAGAGGCTCAAATGAGTTGTACCATATTGTTAATGGGCCTGTTCCAACTACACTTCAGCCACTTATACAAAACTTTGGTTCTCATTGCTTGTTATTTATGTACTTAAAAACCCAAAGAGTATTCACTGTCTCACAGTGTCTTCTTTTGTCCCGTCAGTGTTTTGTTGAAATGGAAAATGCGGAGAATGCAGAGAAAATGGCCGAGGCTTACAGAATCAATCTGCCAAAGTTCTATGGGAAACGCTTGACAGTCTACGTGAGCAGGAAGTACAGGCAGCTCAAACATGGGTAGGTATTGACGTTATTAAAAATATTTGCAGTAAAACCCCTTGAGATAAGATAAGGTTTTCTTTTCAACTCTTTTTCATGTAGATTTAAATGTTCAAGCACACTGAAAAGAGACAAAAGCAGCACACCACCAAGATCTTCTAAACATGATGAAGAACCTCCTCCTAAAAAAATGAAAGAACTGGATGAGGAGACCAAGCAGGGAGAGAAGGAAGAGGAGGTTGAAAACCCAGATGAGACAGTTCAAGAAGTTTCTGATGAGCAGATGAAGATGAGTGAGGAAGTGAGTGTGAGAATTATCAATGTACTACAAAGTTAGTATGTTAATTCCAAAGACTATATGGAAAAATTTGTTTTTCTTCATTTGGATGGATCAGGATTCACAAGGAGATGAGGTTCACGTCGCTGCTGATGCTGATGGAGACGATGACGAGATTCTTCCTGAAACTTCTAACGAGACAGTGAGAAGCTGTGAATGCATGATTGACAGAAGTGTCAATGAGCTAATGTGCTAGCAGGTTTTAAATACTATTACTGATTAAAATATTTAAAGCCGTACTTTAATAAACAAAGTTTATCTTCTGAAGCAGGAGGATGGGAAAAACATTAAAGAAGAAGAGTCGTTGAAGGAAGTAGAAACATTGACCAATCAGGAAGAAGCGACTGAAGCTCCTTCCTCGACTGAAAACAAACCCAAAGTGATGTCACTGCCACCGTACGACAGTGAGACACCCATTGGTGAGAAAAAAAAAATCATTCACCATTCTATTAGTGTATACACGTTTTGTGAACACTACATTAACAAAAGGACATTTTCTTTCCCCTTAAAGGAGTCGAACACGTAAAGATGGGTTATTACTGTCGAGTCTGTTTCCTGTTTTACACCAATGAAGAGACGGCAAAGAAAGTCCATTGCAGCAGCCAGGAACACTACGACAAGTTGCAGGTGAGACACATTAGTGCCCACTCACCAGCTACTAAAGTCTGATCAGGCTTTTTTGCAGTTCAGTTGTTGTTGTCGTGGTCAGACTTCATCAGACATTTGTCCCTGCTGCCAAAACTGAAAACTAAACTGAGGCTTGTGAATTGTTTATCGTCCTGCACTAAAATGTCAAATTTGATCCTTTGGCTAGGCCATGGTAATTTTCACACCTGAGTTTCATTATATTTGGCATTTTGTCTTTGTTCCAGAAATACCTGGAGAAAGAACAACTCAGAGCAGAGAAGAAGAAAGGAAAGAAAACTGCATCATGAAACAAAAAGGCTAAACAGCATCAGAACTCTTTTTACTGTTTTTCTGTTAACTTTGTTAGTTTTATTAATACATTTTTGTTCTATTCTTTCAAGAGAGTGACGGGGGAACAAACCCAACTTCATATACATTTTGTTATATTTTTGTTTAAAGAATCATCTCAGCATTTTAGATGTAACCCTGTTGCTTTGATTAGGTTGGTTTGATGTTGAGATGGTGAAACTCCAGTCAACAGTTTCTTACATGAAAAAAGGTTGAACACTGGACACTTCTATGACAAACTTTACAATCCACAGGCCAAACTCTGTAGCTGCAGTCAGTGGAAGAATTGCTGATATATACGGCGACGCAAGCGATCCCGGAGAAGCTGGCGGGAGCCCCGGGGAGAGTTCTCTTTTCTTCGTGAAGGGCAGGGCGCCCTGGAATGGGTTCGCCCCGAGAGAGGGGCCCGCGCCCTGGAAAGCGTCGCGGTTACGGCGGCGTCCGGTGAGCTCTCGCTGGCCCTTGAAAATCCGGGGGAGAGGGTGTAAATCTCGCGCCAGGCCGTACCCATATCCGCAGCAGGTCTCCAAGGTGAACAGCCTCTGGCGTGTTAGAACAAGGTGGCGTAAGGGAAGTCGGCAAGCTGATATACTGCTGATATATTAGGAAAAACTGACTTTTTGCATCTTGGTCAGCATCAGAGTTTGATATTTAGTATAAGATAAAGAAATGTGGTTCAGTTTGTTGGTATGTTTTTTGTTTTGTTTTTTAAATAAAAAAAAAAAGATCAGAATTCATTTAATGACATCCCCAAATCTTCTCTTGCTTGGCAACTTCAACCTTGTACCACCTTAACTGTCCTTCTGATGGGCCCATTTCTAATCCTGTCCATCCTGGTCACTCCCAGTGAAAATCCTCAGTATCTTCATCTCTGCACCTTGTTAAGAGCCATTGTCTTTGAACCATACATCATAGCAGATCCCACTACTGTCCCTTTGAACTTTGCTGCTATTTATCTGCCACAGATTACTGACACTCGTACTCATCCATTCCACAGTAGAATTCAATATTAAGCACCACGTAGTACACAACAGGTTACACATTTTATAAAAATGTCAAAACGCTAATCAGAAATTGGTAGAAAGAAATTTTAATCCAACTTTTTACAAAACTAAACATCAAACAAGGATATGATTAATTTATTTTAAATATGCACCATTAGGACAGTGTCATCAGGCCTTATCTCCCCATGTTAAAGAAGTTAAACAGGAAAAATCCTTCTTATATTTGGACATTGATTCATTCTCAACTTGTCCATGGATCGACTCCTGTCGCCTCCTGAAAAACAATCATCATTGAATCAGACCAAAATATTGACCGGTCTTGTCTGTTCAACTACACACATAGATGGATGTTAATGCAGTGTTGCTTCACCTGGTACTTCCTGTAGTGTGTCAGGCTGCTGCAGTGCTGCAGTTTAGCCTCATCCTCGTCAGCATAAATCACCTGACACAGCGAGCAGAAATAACCAACAACTGGACGAACAAACTTGGTTCCTTTAGAGAGGGGAAAATGTGATGTGATGTAACCAAACCAACGGAGTGTTCTATTTTGTGTATTTTATATATTTTTATTTCTTACCCACTGGTTTGGTGGGTTTCTCAGGCTCAGGAGTGATGCCCCCTTCCATCTTGTCCACATGTATAGAATTTAGTCCATCGACATCAGGTTTCTAAAAAAAATAAATAAATAAAATTAAAGTGTAAACCACAAAGCAGTTACTTTAGGTGATGTCATGTGATCTTAAGCTAACTAAAAGATACACCTTGTTTTTTTGTTGATCTGGGTTCCCGTCCTCCACCTCTTCCTCAGTTTCTTCGTAGTTTTTCTGACTGGTTTCCTGCTTCTGCTCCTTTTCACTGTGCAATACTTTTTCGGTTTCCTGTTTGTTGTCATCTGTCTCTTTTGTTGTTAAATGCTCATCCTCTGAAGTTAATGTTTGTAACATTTTTTTTTCTGTCTCCTGTTCAGCAGCTAAATTGACCATGACTTCTGATTCTGTTCTCAGAGCCTGAGCAGAAGTTAATTTTTTTTCTGGCATTTTTTGGTTTTGTAATTCTACATTTGGAGACTTCTTGGAAATGCAGTCTGTTTCTGAGGTCCTAGTGGGCTTACTCTCAAGATCCTCTGTAGTACTGGAATTGTTGCCTTGAGCTTTCCTTGAAGTGGATTCTTTTTCAAGAGATTTCCTTGAACCTGTATCTTTTTCCTGAGCATCACTGCAAATTGAGTTCTGTCCTTCCTTCTCAAGAGACAGTTCTGGAAGAACAATGAAAACAAACAAAATATCAATATCTAACATTCTGGAGGACAGATTTTTATTTAATTAGACCTAAATCATTTTCTTACCTTCAGTTCCGGACTCTTCCTCTTCTAGCTCGTCTAAAGTGATGCAGTTCTCCAGGTTCCATGGAAAATCGGTGTCCTCCTGACAAGGATGAAGATGGAAAGAAACACACGAAGATAAGAGAGGTAAATATTTGCTGTACTCCCCTCCACCAGTTAGAACTGAAGAACCCTCTTGGATGAGAGGTGAAATGACTTCTTTTAGAAAATTCATGTCCAGTTGTCTAACAGAACTCTTCAACTTTGACCATGACCTGGATGACTGAGAATCTTCATACACATAAGAGAGGTAAATATTGACAAAGACGGGGTAAGAAAAAAGGTGAAGACAATACTAGAACTATCATAAAAATGGAGCCAACTTCAGAGTTCATTCTTTTACCTCGTCATCCTGCTGAGATTCTCTTTCCATGCTTTCACTAGTGGATTTTTCTTCTACTGGCTCCTTTTGATAATTCTCCTCTGTGAACAAGTATCACACATTTAGCGTTTTATCTTTGTATCTGTTCAAATGAATTTCAGAGTAAATTTCTACCTTCACACGTTTCAGTTTTCTCCGATGAATGGTTCTCCATTACCACCACCTCCTCTTTCATTAGATGTTGAATCACCTCCGTTGCTGGACCTTTTTTCTCTAGCACATCACTCTTTTCTGTTGAAGAGTTATTCTGTTCATCTTTTAGCTCTTCTCCTGCTGGCTGTCCTGCTTCACTGTTACTCTCCCTTTGTTCATGTTCAGCTGGATTCTCCTCTTCCTCCTCCTCCTCTTCTTCTTCTTCTTCTTCCCCCAGATTTTCTCCATCCTCTCCAATCACCTCCATCCCCTCGATGTCGCTCCCCTCTTCTGAGAACCTGTAGACCACACGTGTGACTCAGTTCCAAACAGATGATTTCAATGAGCCGTATTCACTAAGTGACACTCACTCTTCCTCTTTCGTGTCGCTCTGGCCTGTACTTTGCTCCTTCTCTGCAGTTTCAGGCTTGGTCTCTTTGATCGTAGTTGCTCCTGCATCTGTGCTGTGCTGAGACCCTGAGGGAAAAAAAGAAATTCTTATCAACATCAGTTAATCTGGTTATTTATAATGTTGAAACCAGTTTTTGGCTTTATTTGGTTAGACTGTGTTTTCACACCTGCTGACTCTACTTTCTCTTGTTCAACCTTTTTTTCAGTTGATTTAGAAACAGGCGACCTGGACCTGGTCCGTGTCCTTCTGTCTTTGCTATCTTGGACATCAGACTTGTCTTTGGATTTAGACCTTTGGCTCTGACTAGATTCGTTTCTGGATCTGGACCTCCCATTTCTGCTGGATGTGAGGTCCCTCGACTTCGACCTATCTCTGGACCTAGACCTCCCATGTGTACTGGATTCTCCTCCTGATGTGGACTTTTCCTTAGATCTGGACCTCAGGTTTCTGGACATACTCCTAGACCCAGAGTCCTGCCTGGACCTGGACCTATCTCTAGATGTTGATTTATCTCTGGATCTCCTCTTTTTACTCTCTGATTTTCCCTCTCGTTCTGGGCTAGTCCTGGGCCTCTTGCTGTGTACAACCTCCTCCTCGTACTTTTTAGCTGAAGCAGTTTTCCTGCAAAATGATGAGAAACAGGAAACGCACCATTACATTAGTCCAAAAACACGCTGACCACAGTCACATTTGTGTCCTGCTCACGTGAGGGTTTTATATTCTTCTGAGAAGGAAACTTTGATGACGTCGTTGTTGATCCTCAGAGAGTTAGAAGAATAATAATCCACCAGCTTCTGGGCTTCAGGAGCATTTTTCATCTCGACAAATGCCTGAAACACAAACAAAATAGAGTAAAACAACTTGTGTTCAGTGTCACGGAAATTTCACCCCTCACTCCGCAGTCTGTGTAACACATAACTAGTATTAGACTATTAGACTGTGAGTGACTCACCCTGGACGGCAGGAATAGTGTGTAGAATGGAGTTCCAAAGCGTTTGACGATGCTGAGCAGATCTGATTTGCCATGTTCATCTGCTGGGGATGGAATGAAGCTGACGACGTTTGAACTCTGTGAATTAAAAGACAGAGAGAGGAACGGTGTCATTTCTGGTCATTTAGAATTCTTCAAATATTTTTGTCATGTTTGCTTGTGTACATATATGTGTACCTGCAGGAAGCTGAAAGTGTTGGAGATGCTGAACTCTATCAGCTGTCCGTTCACAGTTGGAGGATAGTTGATGTGGTATTTTACCAGATCCTTGGCCTGATCGTTTGAGCCGAGCTCCACAAACGCCTGTAATTCACATCAGAAGCGTTACCTCTTACTTCAGCTGTGATACATGGTGTACTGACCCTGCATACAGAACCAGCATGATGGGCAGGACAGGAACAATACATGTGAGTGAGCTGATAACATTTACAGAAGTCTGGTCTTTGTCAATTTTATTTGTTTGTCTGATGGTTTATGATTGTGACTAAATTGATTCTGTTTAACTAATTTGTTGACTTAATTGTCTTAGACTGGTTCCAGCAGCACAAGTCTCAGTACATCCTATCCTGTCAATGTGATGCCCTCAATGTCGCCCTGCAACACAGAAGAGAAAGACAAACACTGGAGAGAAAATGACAGAGTGACCGAGGCTGGTGTAAACTAACCAAAGATGGAAACATCAGGATCTTGACGATATTTCCAAAAGGTTCTGTCAGTTTCCTTAGGTAAGCTTCATCCACAGACTGAGCAGGAAACTTCACACACACCACTTTACCCTTTTCTGAGACCTTGAAGGTAAAACACTTTTTTTTACTGATTAAGCAGGGGAAAAAAGAGAGAGTAAAAGCGATTTATAACCTGCAGAGTTCTTACCTTATCTGAAGGCTGTTTGTTTGACCGCGACTCTGTTAACACAGAGAAATAAACTATATGAGCAAGTGATCATTAACATGAACAATGTGGTAAAATTGAAATGTTCTTACTGTCTGCCTGCAGAGGCTTGGTGGGTCGCCATCCATCTGTCCTCTTCTCTGATTGGTTGTCAGCACTTTAATGACAAAGGTTTGTTTAGATCAGTGATGCCATAAACTCATGTTAAATGACACTGGATTCTTAAAAAGATGCTGAAATACATGAAAACTAATTCATTAGACCGGTAAATAAAAATAGTTACTGAATATAAAGATCAAGTGATAAATATTTCTGAACCACTGACCTGCTGATTGACTCCAAACGACAGTCCCAGTTAGGAAACCTTAGAAAATACAAAACTGATTATTGACAACAGTAGAAACAGTCAGGATACAGGTCAAAGACTGAGCTCTCAAAATTCTAAAGAAGACTGACCTTAGATAAGTTTATTACATTATTATTCCCAGCCCTCTTAATAGAATAAAACAGAAATTTAACAGCATAAAGTCCTAGTGTGTGTGCGTGTATGTACCGCTGCAGCAGCTGAAGCTGTCTGTCTGCATGTACACCACCGTTGATGTGTCCATTCCAATTCTGAAAAACAAAAAATGCAGAAAAAAAACTGTAACTCAGCTCAGTTTCTGACTGACTGTTACAAACCCGCGTTTTTACGTAACGTTCTCAGAAACCCAGGAGGACACATATACTTTACCTTCTCTGACAGCACAGTGATATCGCAGAGAGAGCACGAATATGGAAACACCTGTGGGACTGTTCCATGGAAGTCCACAGCTTCTTGCCTGGAGGGTAACGCAGCAACAGATGCTGCAGCGATGGGAGTTGGGGTTGTGGTGGTAACAGTGTAAGTAGAGCCGGGCCACTTGCTCCTGCTGGTAGACGTGTCAGGCTCTGGGTGTCTCCTCCGAGAAGGTTGGAACTTCTTGGGAGGAGACTCTGACCTGTACGCAGCTGATGGTTTGGAGATGTATGACGATCCTGCCGACCTAAAAAAATCTGCGGTTTGCTCTGGACCAGCTCTGTCAACCTTACCAAATTCACGGGGTCCTGATCTGTGTTGATAATCCACTGTGAAGCCAGATGATGAAGAGTATGTTGTATTTACCCTGACGGAGCTGCTGGGGGTATAGTTCCCCCAGCTGTCTTGAGCATCTGATGTAAGACTAGATGTGACCTGCGGGTACCCGATGTGCCCACTGCGGCGCTGATCCCAGTCGCTGTTAGAGGAGCTGGCTGCAGGCTGAAAGGTGGGGGTTGGAGGTTGAGAATGGGAGGATGAAGAGGAGTGAGAGGTGGAGTAAAGATTTGGGGCAGAGAGATTGACTGCCCCTTTCGTCCCTTTGATCTCTTTCAGGAGTTGAGGCAGTGTTTCCACGGTGAGGACAGCCTCAGGCAGCTTGGCGAGAAGAGACAGATCACTAGGCTCCAGACCGCAGCTGTTGAGGATGTGGAGAGCGTTTTCTTGTGACCACGAACCTCTGGTGGAGGAAGAGTAGGACGACGAAGACTCCTGCAGTCGTACCGTACTGCCATAGTCAAGATCCACTGAGTTGAGATGGTGTTCTGAGGAGCTGCGTGATCGATGATTCGGTCTAAGGTCTGTGTCATTGGGCGGGGTCCTATAAGTATACTTTTTAGACATGATCGGAGGAAGCTGTGGAGAGAGTGTTACCTGCAGGTAGAAGGTGTCGGGAAGAGAGAAAATGTAAATGCTCAGAGAGACAGGAAGATCTCGACTGTTTGTCCCGTATTAGGGAAAAACTGGAGTTCAACTACAATCACAATGATTCAATCATCTGTTGTTAGTAAACTAATTGATTTCAATGAATACTTTACCTTTTGAGATAATATACCATGGTTAATGTTGGTGTGAACGAGCGAGCAGTCTTGGTTTAACAATTTTCCCCTTTATAAAACCTATTTTAATTCTATTAGATGAAGGTTAATAATATATAAAATTATTTTTTAAAGAAGGAACCATAGCAGAGCAGGTGCTGAAGTAACATTTCTGCATAACTTGTCCCAAACACTGGTTGACAGATAAAGATTCAAAGGAGCCTTTTAAAGGGTTAATCAGGAGAGTCCATGAATGCCATATCTTCCATTTTTAGATTGGGTATTATTGGAAAATGGTGCAGAGTTCCGAAAGAAGAGATCAAGCACGAATAAGGCGTTACACTTGAGGTCCAAGTCCAAGGAGAGCTGCAAAAAGTCTGATTTACAGAACGATGTGACTTTTCATTTACATTATTCATTATTATTTTTTTATCACAATTAAGCAAAACAACAATGTCTAGAATAAAGGTTATAATGAAAATGGCGTTAGGGTTAAAAAAGAAAACACGTCTTTGTGTTGAGTTTAATAATTAAAAAAAAGATAATTAAAGATAAGTGCAAGGTTAGTTAGCCACTCGAAATGACTGCAACAAACTATTACAACCAGCTCGTTATTTATCTGGAATAGATGACAAATTAAGTGTTCCCTTATATACATTTAACTGTAAAAAAGACTGAGAATAATAATAAAATATCTGAAAGCTAAGTGTAAGTAATACAATCCTCAGATATTTTGTTTCTGTTTACTAAAATCCTGTTTGTTGTCAGAAAAGAGCAAAACAAAATAAATTTCACATTCAGGTTTCCAAGCTACTTTAGTTAGTCAACTTACAAAAAAACAAAAAACAAACATTATGTAGTCCATTTGTCGTATAAACCTGGTGACTACTAGTTTCATTGAAACAACATTTTGCTCGTTCATTTATTAGCGGCTACTAACTGTTAGCAGGCGGATGTGTAAAGAGACAGATCTTACCTCAGAACAAACAAACTGGTGGGGTCCGTCGTTAAATATCAAACTTTAAAGTACAGCACATTTACACGAAGCTGAAGAAAAGTGTAGCCGCGATGGCGCTGAAAAACAGCTGAGTAAAAGGTCCAGTTGGTGTTTTGGCAACATTAGTTGTAATACGCATGCGTAATGTGGTCGCTTAGTTTACAGCCAAGTACGGTAGCCCACTCAGTCAAACTTCAGTTTTTCTATGGTCTCATGCTAAAGAGAGAGAAGGCAAACGAAACGTTTGAAGAGTTTATACATATTTGCTCATTTTGTTATTATGCGTAAGTAAAAGTAATACATTCAATTGTTTTAAACTTAAACCTTTAATACATATTACTGTAGAGCTTTTATTTCTGGAATTTGTTGACACGTATCACCTCACAAAACGTAAAATTGTATATCTTATATAGTAGGCCTATACAGCATCTGTAAAGTTAACATACCCCACAAAAATTAATTAATTAATATATTCTACTAGTTTTGTATATATTCGCAGATTTACATTTTTAAATCAACATATAATCTTTTAAATGCATGTAACCCGAGTTAAAAGTATGAACCCGAGACATTCTGTTTTGGTTAAGAGAAGTTAAAACGTATTTATACAGTATTATCAATTTGGTACAAAAACCTAACTGTGATATAATTTTATTTTATTTATTTTATTTTTTACCTCTTTTTTTAAGCAGTGTACCGTTGGACAAACCATACCAGCAGGGAGCGCCACAGACCACAGACGAACGTTTCTTGCTCTTCAATGACAGTTTCGTTCAATTTAAAAGCAGGTAAATGCAGCTTATACACTCCGATATCAACATCTGTTTCAGTGTTCATATTATAAAACGTCGTCAATGTAGAAAAATCAGCTAATTTGTCGGAATTTACATATTTGTCAAACTGTTTAATGAAAGTAAGACAAACAACAGGAAGTTTAATGGGAAAATAATTTCACAGTTCAATCATTGACTCAGATGAGCTTATTTAAAATTACAGCAGCTGTTTCGGCACTTACTGTTCATCTTAATGCATGAATCACAGTGATCATTACATATTACATATATTATATTATATTCAGGTAGATAACCTAGTTTTAATTAGTTAAGAAAAAACATTAAAATCACAACAAATCTGTTTATAAATAATTAAAACGTATAATTTAAAAACACTTAAAATTACACAACACTTAAGTAATTCAGCACTGAGTAAAAAGAAGTTGAGTTTAATACATTTAAGATGAACAAATTAAAACATTATATAACATATAAATTAATTTAAAAGCTAAAGTAATTGAGAAACTTCAGGACAAAATTAAGGAATTAAAAAAACAAGTATTGAAATGGTCTGAAATGACAAAACAGAAAACAATATAAATAAATAAATAAAACTATATAGTTTTGAACCATTGGGTTTTTCAAATGCATCATGTTTTATGCTGCATTGTTAACCTGCATTGAAATGAAATGAAAATAATTTAAACATTTTTGTTATTGTTTCAAAGAATTAATCAATAAGTGTGAAAGTCATTAGTAATTTGACTTACTAACACAATACATGACAGTTTAATTTCATATCAAAACAAAGCAAAAACTATTCATAATAACAAGCAAAAAGATCAATACCAGGTAAACAAGAACCACACATTTTCCAGATTTTCCAAGAGGGGGCAGCAGAGGAGCAGCACAGCAGACCGATACTATCTAAAAGAGAATACAACAAACCATGTCCAGTTGAATGTTAAATGTCAGATTTGGTAGATAAACAGGTAAAGATATTTAAAAAGAAAAAAAAAATCCCAGTTTGTTTTGAGTTCAAATTTCTTCAGTCCTTAATCAATCCTTCATATTAACGGTGTGATCATTTCTAACATTTCCAGCGTCTCCTGAACATTATTCCTGGAAGTTTCCTGACTCTGAGGACGGACAGCGGTGGAGACAGACTGACTCTGGTTCCTGCATGTGTTTTGTTCACATTTCAAGGTAAGATTTAATGTCAAATTGAATCAGTAGAAATAAATAAATCTACATTTTGGTATAATGAAAATTTGGCTAATGTGCAACTGTTGCTACATTTTTGCCTTACTTTTATAAAATATTTGGATCTTTTCTTATTATTATTCTATTATTATTATTAAAATTATATTTATTATCATTACTGCACTTTTTAAAGTTTCTTAAAGTCAATCTTTACAATACTATCACAGTTCATATTTATTTATAAGACACTGTGTGACATTCAAGGTCACTGTGGACACTAGGCAGCAGTAAAAGAAAACAATGACACAACAGAAAAAAATCATAATATCAATAAAAGGCTTGAAAAAAACCACAAGGTCACTTGATAATCGCATTCTAGGAAAATTTACTTTCTTTACTCATCAACTCAATGGTTTCTGCAGTAAAAATACATTTATTTCAAAACAACAAATACACAAAAGTCACAATGGATCACAGCAGTAGAATAAAAGTAAATATAGATAATATGAAAAAGATTAGAAAAGATATGAAAATATAGAAACAGATAAAACATGATATGGTCTGGATTTATATTTTGTATTGATTAGTTTGCAATTTTGCAGTATCAGTGGAGTTACAATACTGTAGTAGTAGTTTTGGTTATTTAGTTAGTAATATTTCATCATCCAATCTGACCAGTAGAAAATTAAATTTTTCAAGCCAATGGGTTAGGAAATAAATTAATTTTCTAATATTAATTCACACCAACGTAGATGCATAAGAGAAAAAGAATACACCTATAAAACCCCACACCAACACACACACAGGTATTTATCTATATTAACATTTACTTTATATTAAAGCAACTTTTCATTCCAGAAAGAAACAGCACATCAAATTCCTTCAAAGTCACATATTAATTCATACATTTTAAGAACTTATATTTTTACATTTTTCCTCAAAATTCTCAGATTTGACTAAACATTTATTGTAATTTTCATGATCATACTTAACAGCTTACTTTTTTTTTTTTGTAAATTTCACATCATTAACTAGTTTCTGCTCTGTCACTGATGCTGTGAGACTGAATCCTGGATGTACATGTGGCCTTCAGGGACCTCTGAACTTCCCCATAAATGTTAATGGACATTTTGTGGAAAATTCCCCAAAAATAATCCAAAAATGAAAATTCTATAGCTTTTTGTTTTTGTTTTTGAGGTGGCATTCTTAAAGGCGGGAATTTGTTTTTAGGATGTTTGTTTTTCAACAGAGCGTAAATTTACTGAATATTATCTAACAAGTATTTTAAGCACTAGTATCACAACAACACGTGGAACTAAAATCATAAGTTCTTTCAGTTCTGGTCCCACACCTTTCTGTGAGACAAACACAGTATGTGGTTTTCTGAGACCATGTTCTAATGTTCATCTCCTTTGGAACATCACAGTTAAAGAACCACAGGGACATGTGGTAGCACAAGCACTGGATTAGCTTAACTAGTTTAGAGATGAACTGTGTGTGGACTTCAGGGACCACAACGCTGCACCACATGTTCTAGGATACAACTCGGTGGAAAACCACACAGAAAAATGTGGAACCAGAACCAAAGCACGAGCTATCAAGTACGGTGGATTTACTGATTCACTCGTGTGTCAAAACCACTGTATGAACCGCAGCTTTTTGCTGAAGCTCAAATTGTTTTAAAAAAACCCTCCTGCTTGTGCTGCAGCAACTGGAGCTAAGCCACAACAACAAAACACGAGAAGTAGACGGTGCAGTGGTCAGATTGATTAATGAGAAGTGCCTTAATTACAGTTTGTAAAAGGAAAATAATGAAATAAAAATAGAATTTAATATTTAAATAAGTTTTTAAATGACACACAAATTGATCCAAAGTAAATACAATCCATTCAGTCTGTTTTCATGTACGACATAAATTCATAAAACTGTAAAAGGCATTGCATAAATCTGACATGAAATGTATACACATATTTCAATTTTTTTTTTTTTTTGTTTGGTTATTTTGATAAATAAAATACTTAGATTTATAAACATAAAAAGTCAATATCAAATGACTGAGCAGCAGCAAACATTTATAAGACAACCTCCTGCCTCTCATCCGGAGTCTCTTTAATTAAGTTCATTCATCACTGGAATTATTGCTTTATTTATTTATTCGTCATTAATTATTGTTTTACTGCAACTGTGGAACCAGTGGGGGTTAAAAAAAATGACAGGTATTTTCCGGCTGAAATGAAGCGTGGACAGTGACACGCTGACGTGAGGTTAATGTGAAAATTAGTCTGGTAATTGTCAGCATGTGTGCGAGCTGATGGCACAGAATTACCTGGGTTTAAACACAGAGCGTCTGAAACCCAACACCACTGAGGAAAACACGTTCCCTGCCAGGAAATAATAGACCGATAGACTGACTCTGAGTCTGTAATTTTAACACTAGTTTAAAACAGATCAACAACAACAAATCTATAAGTATTCATAAAGCCTATATATACAAAGAGAATAAATAAATCCTGACACCAACATTCTGCAGAATGAGGTCCAAACAAATGAAATGTGTTATGCATGAAATTAATTGGATAGCTGAGCATAAACGTTAATATTCCAAAATGTTTGGAGTGCAGACTTGGTAGAAGTCTGGTGTGTGTCCTTGGACAACAGAACATCTGGAACAGAAGGTTGTATGATTCTAGTGAAATTTCACTCAGAACATCTGGTCACTTGATCTGGATCAGAGTCGCCCAGAGGATTTTTGACCAGTCTGACATTTGTGAGAAAGACTGTTGACGTTGAGACCACATTTGTGGTCTAATTCATTTCATAACTCAATTATTGTCAGTGTTAATTTTGACAATCCTAAATAATATGGATGATAAGCTAATAAAATATTTACCATCTTTTTTTATAATTATAGAAACAATAGCTATATATATATATATAACAATTTGACTTCGATCATTATTTTAATTCAATACAATTTCAAACTAATTTGGCAAAAAGTCATGCAAGTAATATGAACAAAAAAGTCACAAATAGAAGTGCTGACATATGGACAGAGCGATGACGCGTGAAGGAAGCTTCAGTCTCCTGTCTTTATATAGACCGTGTCTGCTGTCCATCGAGTGATTCAAGGTAATTCACGTCTTTATTTTCGGCTGATGCGGGTCCAACGTGACTTCCTGTGGGGATAATTAAGACTGTGATGTTACGACTCATCATCATCAAAATCATCATTACCATCATAACTTGGAAACAAGTTTTTTACGACTTCATCACTTAACGCTGTATCTCCTCCTCTCCATCACTTTAAACTCCAACAGACTTTGGAGCCTTTTAGAGGTGTTTGTGTTTAAACAGTAAAGAGTTTAGTGGAGAACAGGGTGACATAGAAAACACTGCTGGACACTGACTGTGGCCATAAAGAGAAATAAAGAAAACACAGTGTGACTAATCAATGTAGGAAAATAACACGGTCACTGAGGCTAGATAGAAAGTACTAGTGCAGTAGATGTGTGTGTGTGTGTGTGTGTGTTTATCACACTTGATAAATTGATGTTCATGCATTATATCCATTATGCATGGGTGTTTTGTTGGGACAATGTTCAGTCGAGCGCCTATTGCAGTCAAACCTGAGGAGGTCCTCCTTCTGCTTTCTGGCTCTTTTCCCTCCTCCTCCTCCTCCTCCTGCTCTTCCTCCTCCACCTTTTTTCTCTCTCAGTAAACATCTGCAGTAGCATTAATGTTTAAATCAGAGTGTTTTGTATGAGCTGTATTTTGTTTTGTCATTAAAATGAAAAAGGGCCTTAGAACACAGCTCCACTAAGTGACATCGTGGTGAAAAATTTAACAGTGAAGTTAATTTATATCCATGTGCCACTTTTTGTACAACAAATTGAGCCAAAATTGGTTTTGTGAATGCGTGTCACAAACAATTAGTACACTTTCAGTCGTACAACATCAGCTGAAGCCAGCCCACAAAACCCACAAAGACAGACTGGGGAATATACGATGAATACGTGGCAGTCATGACAGACAACATTGACACACAGTAAATTAGCAGCTTTTTTTATAGCTGTTGACAAAACTTGTTACAATCAACATCTAGGTGTTGAAATCAGTTTTAAAGGTTCATGTTAATAACGTTAGACTCTTTAATAAAGTCCTTCTTGATCCATGTTAACAAGATATTTTTACATAACTGTTCATGCGGTACATATTCCTCATTATTTACCATTCCAGGATGTCTTGTTACACTCTCTTTTAATGCTTACTTACTTAGTTAATTACTCACTTAACTAACATGGTTTTGTTACTCAATGTCACCAAATACACATCTTTTCTACAGACTGGAAATATTTAATGCTAAGAGTTATTTATTTATTATTTTATAATTATATCACACCTTTTCAATTCTTTACAAAATAGTTTCCATTTTCACCCCCCAGTGCTTAACACTGGATACACCAGAGCCATGTATTCAGGAAGTGGACGGTTTCCTGTTCCATGTCCGCACCACAGTCTCATCAGGGCAGAGATTCAAACCAGCAGTGGTCTGATTTCAAATCCAAACCCAATCCTTCAAAACCCTAGACCACGGCAGCTAATGTTAATGTGACAGAAACAGACAGATCATCACCCCTGTCTTGGCTCAAAATGCTGTAGTAGGAAATTATAATTTTCTTTTTCTCTGTCTTTCACCTTCACATCATCCATGGTTTATTTAACAAAAATGTCCAGAAAAAGCAATCAGATAGTACAAACAAACTTCAGTGTTGCTGGGTTTTGTCTCCCTCCTTTGGCTGTACTGCCCCAACCAACATTTCACATTTTGTGCAAAATATTGTGGTCTTTACATTAAATACAAATACACGGCTTACCACAGTGACAACAGTCCCTAACCTGCGGACACTTTCACGTGTCCCTGCCCCGCCCCCTTCTCAGAGCCCTGGTTTTCTGCTGGTTTATCTGCAGCCCGACGGCTCCCGGTGGACACATTCCACGTAATGGTTCTTCTGAACGTAGCGCTGTCATTTAAATTGCTAATTATGATGGTGTGATGGAACAAATAAATAAAACATGACCTTAGCGCATTTTTATCTGCCACTGTAAAAACTTTGGTTGACAGTAAATCGTGCAGCAGACAACAATCACTTCAACACGCCATTTCGTCCAAAGCTGCAGAAATGTCTTGGAGACTGTGATGGCACTTTTAATGTCCAGACAATGTCCAGACATACTGTCAGTCAGTTATTGAACTTCATTAGTTTTCACCTTTTTAAGATAAAAATCCACAATTGCGTGTCATGTACACTTTATTTTATTGGCTGTTCAGATACCAGACTAAACGTGTAGCATAAAACAAGATCTTACAACAATTTTCTGTTGCAGCTACAAGACCGATTTTTTATTGTAGAAGAAATGACCAAATACCATAATTCAGAAATTTAACATTTAAAATTAGAGGGTAAAAATATCTAGAATCTGTTGTCGAAAATAAAAGTGAAAGACCATTTATTATAAACTATCCTTCTATCCTATCCTTTTTTTAAAAAAAAACACTGCAAAGATCTTTGACATGATAGCTCCTAAAACTATGATTTTCAAAAATGTTTACATTCATAAATGTCGAAGGGTTTCAATGTGTAAGCCTGAGCCAATGAGACTGCAGAAGTGCTGTGAGGCAGCGTGGGGATAAACTTTCTTCTCTATGTGTGTAAAACTTTAATTTTTATCCTAACTTTAACTGTAGCCCAGTTTAAAAAAACAAAACAAAGCAGAAAATGTTCAGAGAGAGAGAGTGATGAACTGGTTCCTTTACTTGTGCCATTGTGATATAATATTGATGACCCTTTTGGTCTCCTCTCGACCTCTGATTGGTCGTCTCATGTCATATTTTTTATTCATGAAGCTTCCCCACATCCCCTTGTCCTCTGATCCCATAATGCATCTGTAATGTTTTGTCAGGTGAGGCATGATGGGAAAGATGTGATGGAGCGAGTCTCCTGGAGGGATGCAGTGATGAAGGAGGCTGAATTTTGATCAATTCGTCCAAAACTGCCAGGGGCCAAGTGTTTGACCCTGAGGAACACCTCTGACTTACTGTGCTCTTCTCCTTTTTTTCTGTAAAACTTTTTTTCAAGACTTTCTGCTTTACTACCACAAAGGCAAAACAGGCCAAAAATTATTACAAACAAAAGACACATTATCTGTAAATATATACATATATACGACTTCTGGCCAAAGACTCACACTCTAATCACACCTTTTTTTTTCTCTGGCTCCTGTTGTTTACTAATTTTTCACCTCACCTCTCACAACCTCCCCTTCCCCCACCCCTGTGAACCTCACCTGTCCTGCAACTCCTTTCCCCCTGAGTCTCACCTGCACCTCTTTCACCTCACCTCCATGTTTCTCCTCCCCCTGCTCATTAACCCTGAGCCCTGATGGACGTCTTACACTCAACATCATTCTCACCCTTGATGATCTGTTCAGAAAACCCTCTCACTTTGTTGTCAGGGGGCGGGGTGGGAAGAGCAGGACAAGTGGCCATTTGCTCGTCTCCAGGGCCATGCACCATCTGCCAGCATCCCCCTGAAAACCTCCGCCTGCACAGATCGCCACGAGCCCAGTGACTCCCGACACAGCTGGAACACAGAAGTGATGATGGGAAGACGACCTGCTGCTGCTGCATTCAGGCCCCTCAAGAGAGGTTAGATGTATCATTTTCCCACCGCGGTTTATGACTGTCCTAAAATGCTACAAGCGATGTGGAGTTTAAGGCAGTGTAAAACCATTACAACTTGTTCCATTGTCTTTTCAACCGTGCAGACCAGAGACGGTTAGTGGCATTTATATTTTGTGCTGCTGACGCCCGGCTCACTCTCCATTTCTGCTCTTACTTTAATTTAAATGCAATGTTAAAAACTGGCAACATCTAAATAGAAAAAGTCATGAAGTAATGTCCATCAAGTCAATAAAAAAAGTAGGCTAACATAAGCTAATAATGAACTGTTGAAGACAGCTAGCATAAGTTAGAGCTTCAGATCATGTCTTTATTTGATGACATAGAGGTTCATAATAAATGCCTTAGAGCAGGGGTGTCAAACTCATTTTCACCGGGGGCCACAGCAATAATACAATTCCCCTTGAAGGGCCACTCATAAATGGTAGACTGTACCGATGTAACTACTCCATAACGTATTAATAAATGTTTCTGCAACTGATAGAAAGGTACTTGAAACTATGAAACACTTTTTAAGCTCCCGCGGGCCACTAAAGATGACTTGGCAGGCCGTATTTGACCCCCGGGCCTTGAGTTTGACACACGTGCCTTAAAGTATGACCTTTCTAAAATTCTACACATCTTATCTATGATGATATTTACCAAACAGACCATCATAGATGTATTAGTAAAGGTGGGAACGGCAGAATACCAACAATATGATTAAAATATATCGACTCGATGTCATTTTATGACCAACTGCTCATGAGACGGTATTTTTGGGTGTCAAGGGAACATCCATCTTTTTATTATTGATTCATAGGTTTGTTGTCACTTTAGATCTTTTTATCATTCTCACATTTAAGTCTCTGGAAACGCATACTGCTGCTGATAATATTTTTGGTGTTGTTGTTGTTGATGATGATGATGACGATGAAGACCATGTGTGCATTATCATTCACTACACTCCCACAATCCTCTGCTCCAACTCCAATTACCGTGTGATTGTATACTTGGCACAGAAAACATAATTAACAACCTGCGTCTTTGCCAATCTGAGTAGTCAGTGCACCATCAATCTGAGCGCAGGAACGCAAACACAACCCAACTTCAACAACAATGGCGACGACACAAACGACAGAGAGCTTGCTCCATACTCCCACGAGAAGACTACAATTTGCCACAACGATGGCGGTAGTTAGTCGCTCTCCTCTCTGATGGACTGGCGTAAAAAGTTATTTGTTGTGTGGACAAGAGAAATTATGGGATGGCATGCCAACATAGCGTGGAGGGTCTTTGCAAATACTGGTAAACAAACCTGACACTAAAAACATACGTTCTTGTTAATGATGTTTTCTGGGTTCTCTGTACGTGTGTTAAAGTATAGAAGAAAAATAATTTTCACGTGTAGGATATAACATCTAGATCTAGTAGGTGAAGTGCTGGAAAAACTGAATTAAGAAATAGCATTTTTTTATTAGACTTATAGACTCACATACTGTAGCTAATTCCTAAAAGATATTCTGGTCTTTTCCTAGAATTCACTCCACAGACTTAGTTCCCAAAGATATATTTTGTTTTTATGAAGGCGGAGTTATGGACCAGAACCTTTGTTTTGCTTTGATCTGTTTCTGTCATTACCAATCCTCTATTGACGCCACTGTTTAGGTGTTGAACTATGATAGACAGGGTTGACAAAAGATTTGATCGTACAGAGAATTATTTTGGTGCCCTTTAAATTCAAATTTCAGTTGTGACCGAGGCTGTGAGAACGGATTTCAGTTCGTGGAAATGTATGTTTTGAGCTTGTCTGTTTGTGTTTGCTGGGTTTGTCCATCATGCTCGACCGAGAATGAAAATGCACACATTTTTGATTAACAGCTGTGTATGTCTGTGTGTGTGTGTGTGTGTGTGTGTGTGTGTGTGTGTGGAGAGAGAGACTGTATTGTGGATTCAGCAGAAACACACCGCTGCAGCTTCTTCTTTTCTTGTTATTTATCGGGTGGCAGCGACTGGCTGCTGCTTATTTACAGCAGATTGTTTCTCCAGATGTTTTAGAGAGAAAGAAATCCCTAAACACACACAAATGCACACGCACACACACACACACACACACACACACACTCACATGAGCTTACACACAGTCATCTCTCTGTCCAGATGGAGAACATTCTTTATAAGACTCCATAATCCTTCTTGTTTTCTGTGAGAGGAAACAGAGGAAGGTGAAGTGAAGCATCCTCCTCCTCCTCGTCTTTTAGTCCTCTTTCCTCCTCTGTCTCCTCTTTCTCTTCCTCGTGTCACTGACGATCTCCAGTCATTGACTTGTTCTCAGTTAATCTCTCTTGTCTTCTGGTGGATTTTTTTAGAAAACAGAAACAGGAAATTGTCTGTGGTTCTTTTCAGGTGGCTTTGAAAATGAGTTTTAAAGGTGAAGTCCATCTTTTATGTACCGTCTTAACTACGAGGAGGTTAGAGGTTGTGTTTACACCTGCACATACAGTACCTGTCCATATTACAGCGCTATAAAAATCTTAAGAACCCAAAATAGATAGATAGATTTGTGGTGAAATGACTAACCAGTCCTTTAAACCTCCCTCCGTATTGTTTTATTCTGATCTTCTGTTAGAGAACAAGTGATAACTCTGATTCTCTCATTTGTGTAAAAGAAAATAGAAAAAACTGTCATGGATCATAACAAAGAGGTTTCATAATACTCCCCGAGCTTTCACTGGAAAAACATCCACGTCTGTGTGAAGTCCGTGGGTCCGCGGAGATTCTACCAAACAAGAGCCTGTTTTCAAAACTCAAGTGTAAGAAAAAGAAAGCTTTGTTCTGACTCTTTGTGATGCTGCTTCCTCTCCTCCAGTGTGGGCGAAAGGGAGGAACATAACAACGCCATCTAACAAAGAATTAAAAAAGGAAAAAAAAACAGAAGAAAGAAGCAGCAGATTGATGAAAAGCCAAACAGGTCCCAGGACACTATGTTCTTCTTCCTCTTCTTTTTTTTTTACTCCACGATATTAAAAACTCCCACACATTTCAGGAGGGGAACAGAATTAGCTTTAAGCAGCCATAATGACTCATTTGTTTCATCCTGATAGATTACTCTCCGTGCGAAAGGTGTCACGACATCACCGTGGAAGTTTTTCTTTTCCCGGTTTCCGGGGTATTGCAACAATCCCATCAGGTCCCACAAATAATGAAAAGCTACACATTTTATAGTGACAAAATTAAGGCATTAAAAAGTATAACTTCTGTGGGGAGAAATGGATGTTGGTCACAACAGATTACACACACACACGTCATTTCTTAAATTAGCATTTCCACAGACATCACTGTGTGTCATATTTTTACTATATTTTGGGCACACCGACTTGACCTGAGCATTCTCACATCTGGGTTCTGTTAATCTGACCTCCAGACACATGTTTACTAGGATTGGATCTCTGTATAGATGTCCCGCTTTCTAGCCAACAAACATGGCTCTGATTGGCTCTTTTTCGTCCTCCTCATTTGTTCCTTTAGTTTACTTAACAAAATCAGCAAAGATTGGACTTTGTCCCTGCCAAATGTTTTCTTCTCATTTTACTGGTTGACAATTGCATCAATAAAGTTAATCATCATCACTTAGCACCACATAAGTTCCTGTTTTTGACCTCTATAAGGTACTGAGTTTTTGCAAAATAAGAGTACACAGATCTGGCTTACTGTTATTAAATACAATTTACCTTTCCTTCAGGTGGCGCTATGAACGCAGATGTTGTTAGTTCACGTAAAACAATAATGTTTCATTTTTTTCTGTGGTGCATAACAAAACTTTAATTTATGTCTGTTGTTGAAACTCCTCCTTTCTAGGCATAATGTTGGACCCAGTGAACACCTGAAACTGTGACATCACATCCTGAAGGCTTTGTTGACAAGTAAGAGCAATAATCTTTACTTTTCCATGGACGTGGTTCCATTTTTCTTCAGGAATATTTGTACAAATGTTTGTGTCATTCATGGTGTTGTCCCTGCTGCAGCTGCTTTAACACCTCATGGTCAGTTACTGTGCTGCAGTAGAACATTAACGGTCCTGCAGCTGGATCCACAAGATCCGAACTGGATCTCTGTGACGCTCGTGCTCTTTCTGCCTCCCTGCTGGGTTTCAGGCGCTTGTTAATTAATTGTCTCTGCACCGACATCTGTCGTCTCATGGGTCTTGCCGTGCACCGCTGCGATTCAACATTTCTATGTGAATTTGAACAGCATCCACAGCTTGTAATGAAGAAGCATATGGATCAAAGATAAGCAGAGTAAGAAAGAAGAAGACGAAGATCCAGTCTTTTATTTTTTTAGTACCTGATTTATACCTGAAATAGCACAAGTTATGAAAAAGGAGGAGGCTCATTTCTCAAAAATAAGATAAACATTTCCATGAAATTAACACATTACCCATGGAATTAAAAAAAAAAATCTTCCTGTGCAGGCTCCAATCCCCCACCCCCCTTTTTTTAATGTGAATTTTATGGATCCAGAACTTTGGGCACTATTATGTGAAACAGGGGAAGCCCATTTTGGTCCAAGTTACTTAAATATAAATCTTGCTCCATTCCTTTCTCACTGCTTTAGTTTCTTACACTCCTCTCGAATGTAAAATTGTATTTAGCAAACAGTTAGTGCTGATTATCTAGTGTCCGACATCACTTGTTACCATGTGATCTCATATCCTCATGGTCGATAAACCTTATTTTTAGAAATGGGAAATTAGAGAAATGTCCTACTGTAGTTACATTAATAATGTATTTTAGTACAATTTCAGTAAATTAAATGTAAATAGTTTTTTATTTGACACTTCATTCATGAGAGTTTAGAGGACGCTAAGCTCTCCTTGCTATTGTAGAGCTATTTCCATTTATTTTTCTGGACCAGGTATCTTCACAAAAGCAGGAAAGCAGCAAATCTTGGGTAGAGGCTGAGCCAGAGTGAAGGTTCTTTCTGACAGAGAGTTCATACTCATTAATCAACAACCGCTTATCCAGTTAATAGTTTCATGGACAGCTGGATAGAACCAGGTGACACTGACCAGAACTGGGCCACTGTCACACTGCCCCATATGGAAAGATCTGGTCATTTAAAATTGTCCAATTAAGCAGACCCCTCAACTGCATAGTTTTCTGCTTCAAAAAATAAGAAGAAAATTGGAGAAGACGAATTCACACCAAGGAGAATAAACTAACTTCTTGTTCTGGGGTCAAGAGCTAATAGTCTGATTTATATCTCCAACAAAGACGTCTTTAATACTTTGGCAGTCCAACAGCAAGCTTTACGATTACAACGATGTTTTCATCCATTGTAGTTCTACTTGTCTGTTTTTGTTTTGTCAAACATTAATTTTTACTTTATTTTCCACAGATATGGAAAAGGGTGGAATGGTTTGATCTACTGAACAGAAAGTAAGTAGAGCTTCAGTTCTAATAGTGGATTTCATTTGAAAACATTGTGTTCTGTGTGAATTAAACAATGAAGCACTATTTACATATCCCACAGACAAATATTGGTTATATAAGTTTAAACACAAAGGTGACTTGGTTCAGACTTTGTGCTGTTAACTAAGAAGAAACATTGGTGTATTCAGCTGTGGGGCGTGTCTTCAGGTGTGGCCCAGCAGCATATTGACTCCTGAAGGTCATTATTAGGTTCTGAAGGTGAGGTTGGAACATGACCTGCTCTCTTTGACAGTTCAAAACCCAATTTTATGAGAGAAACCAAAACAAAAAAGGACACAGCGACTCATGAAACCATGCATTAGCAGTGGGGTAGTGACGTCACGTGGTAAACTCGTTGTTGATTTCACATCCCTACATCTTTAGATCCCTCATCACTGCAGACACTTCCTCTTCCTCTTGTCCTACATCTGCCACCAACCCCAGAGTGCACACGCGTGCGCGTGGCTGCCTGTGTGTGTGTGTGCACGTGTCTCTTTACGTTCGCCCTGTTTCCCTCCAGCGAACATGGGATGTAAGGAAACCAGAGGACAAAATAAAAGCATTACTTTTTAAAGACGTGACCCGCAGTCGCAGACGCTGATGCGCACTGACAGCGTTTGCTAATTGGAGTAAATTAATTTACCGCGGGCGCCGTTGTTTCGCGCAAAGCGTCAGCTCGCCCGCGTGAATAAGTGATGATCGGTGGCGGTGGGCCACACAAGCCCCGACTTTTTGAATCATTTAACGCCGCAATCTACTAATTAGCAGAGAGGAGAGCATCTTTTCAGAGCCTGTGTCAGTCAGGGAGGGAGCGCTTCATTTATTCATCCTGTGAGCAGATGCTGAGTGCAGCCGGGGTTTGGATGCAGAGATACAAGGATGGAGAGGGAGCGCTGGGGGATCTGAGGGGCTAGGATGAGGAGGAGGAGAAGAGGGTGTGGGGTTTGAAGTTGGCGTGCGGTTGGAGAACTTTTCCACCTCCTCAACCACCCTTCACCCTCTCCCCCTCCACCCTCTCCCCCTTCACTCAAACCCCCTTCTCCCTCCCTCGCCCCCTCCTTTCTTTCTATTATTTCTTGTGTTGAGTGAACCTCAGAGGAGGATGAACAGAGAGGATGAGACTCTGCCACCATCCAAAACAAAAGACCTGATATGAAAGAGGGGGCGCGCACACACACACACACACACACACACACACTAAAGGGAAGACACTGGAAGGTTCCTGTTTCACACGCTGAGTGTTAACCAGTTGTACAGCCCAAGGTCAAACACTGCAAGATACACACACAGACACACACACACATGCATGCACCTGGCACAGCTCCAACCAAGCACCCTGGTGGCATCTTGGTTCTTCAAAGTTAAGAAACACTGTGTCTTTCGCATATCAATGGATATTGATTATATTTTCTGATGTGATTTGTCAGTTTGTAGGAAAGTCATCAGCAGCAAATGTGAGTGAATGGATGGATGGATATTTCTTAATGAGATGTAAGATAATGATTTTTCTTTCCCTGAATCCTAGCACCGACTGGTCATAGACTATAAGAAGTAAAGTCCCAAAAGTACAACATTAGTACTAGGGTGTCAGCAAAAGAACAAATACTAAGTTAAAATATCATTATGTGGGGAAATGTTTAATGCAACTACATAGTCACTTCTGTTTTTTTAAACTACAGTACAATTTAATTTTAAGGAAAATATTAAGAACAATTATCAGCATCCATTATCCAGTATAAGAACTGGAATGTCCAATAGGAACCAGACATCATCTGTGTACAGAACCATCCCGACTTTTTCAGTTACTATATAAGAAGTCGTCACAGTTGTCGTCTGTCATGGACTATGTTGATAACTGTCAGTTCACACCGTGATACATTGGATCGAAGGGGTTTAACAGGGGCTGAGTGGAAAACGTCCACCTAGGCTTCTTTAACTCTTTCAGCTCCCAGGCTTCTGTTATACAGTAATGTTAAATAGAAAGATTTCAACTACTAGACGAGAGCCAAAGTTTACAGAGTTCAGTCAGACCAGGTGCGATGTATAACTTGGACACGGTGGCAGAGATGTTGATGTTTTTATTGGGAGTAACCAGGATGGACAGGATGAAGTCAAAGGTCAAAACAAGATTATGTGAAGAGCTAGGGTTACCAGATTTAAAGAGACAGCTACAGGATATATGTTCATGTTAGTGATGAAGCTGCCAGACAGGAGGAAAAAGGGGAAAAACCCCAGAGAAGATTCATGAACACAGTAAAGTAGGACAGGAAGACGGTCGGTGTAACAGTGCTGTACGCAAGGGATAGGATGAGATGGAGCAGATGATGTGTTTTGGTGACCCCTGAAAGGCTCAGAGAGAGGAACAGCAAACCGAGAGCATCTTCAAGTTTTCCAGGTTTTCTCTGTGCTGGAGTTTTGAGCATTCTAGGGAGAGAACTCAGTACCCATTGTTGGTTCCTGCTCTGCCTCATTTACACTGAACCAATACTTTAAATAGCGCCATAAAAATACTCGTTGACAACATTTACGCGCCACCTCATAAAAGTCTTGCCACATGTAAATCAGGGCAGAGTGTTTAGTATGAGCACAGTGTACAGTTGCATCATGGTGAGCGTTTAGGAAATCTCTTCCCGGGACATCAACCCACTCTGGTTACGACAAGGAACTGCTGCAACAAAGCTCAATTTATTCAGGCTCAGGCGTTGGGAGTCCGGGTCGAGACACAGAGCAGTGACGGGGATGGAGAGTGTCGCTGCAGCTCGGAAACATGACTGTGAAATCAGCAGTAACGCAAAGGTCATGAATATGTGAGCGGGGCGACTGTGAGGATTTATGTCGGACGTCAAGTCGAGCATGAATTATTTGAACTGTTTATGCGAAGAGAAGGAAATGCAACGTTTATCTGCAGGAAGTTTAACTGAAGTTTTTACACAACATGAATGCGGTGTTGTTTTATTTATTGTTTCATTTATTTATCTATCAATTTATAAACTGAGCTAGATTTAAGGTCCTGTCAGTGATGATGACGGCAGAGGTCAGGGTTTTTTTCTTGAGTGGGATGACTGGGAGGTAATGATGGGAAGGCTGGGCTCACATTCCAAACCAAATCTTTACTACAATTTAACAGAGGGTCAGGGTTGACACTGTACTGGTGGAGATCATGAAGCAAACTGTTGACTGTCTCACACCAGAGTCCACACAAATGTTTCTAAATTTGATCTGATGACACACAGGAATCGATTGCTGCCCTCAACAGGTTGGCCATGTGAAAGAAACCCACTATCCACCGAGGCAGCAGTAGACGAGCAGGGTCTTTGTTTTTGTGAGCGTAAGCCACATCTTTTCTCTTTAGGCTGCTTTTGTCGGTGTCTCTAATGTTTACATGTCAAGATTTCTACACATTTTAACGGGACATTGATGACATTGAACGTTACATCTTTTGTCACTATCTTCCCGTCCGTTTGTGTTTCCACTCACATTATTGTTTGTTAATAATATAAAATTTTATCAGAAAATATTCCACTTGAACAACTGTGCTAATTGTCCTCACTACAGTCATTTACCATCTAGATGTCTTCAGTGTTATCTGAAGGTGGAGCTATCATCTAACTTGGTAACCTACTCATTTTAGAGCTTGGCTAATCTGACACTTGAGAACAAATTATAAACAGGCGATTAAAGCTGATAAGTTAATTTTAAAAGTAGGTTTGTCAGCGGACGTACCTCACAAAACGTTTGTGTGGTATGTTGAAGCTCCGCCCCCCCCCTCCTCTACATCTCCTTCATTTTGATCTCAAAGTCTTTGCAGCCTCATTGACTCTAATGAGATCTGGAGAATCTGTAAGGACAGCCGGGAATTGACGCCGAGCTGAAAAACTTCGGCCGGAGATTCAACAGCGGGCACAAACAAAATCGAAAAGTGCAGGGAAGAGAAGAAGATGAGGAGGAGGACGTTCTCAGATGGTTTGGCAAGCAGTTTGCCTTCACCCTCCTCCTCCTCCTCATCCTCCTCCATCCTAACGTTAATTTCCCAAACGTCTTAGATTCCATGATGTGTGTGTGTATGCGTGTGTGTGTGAGTGTGTGGGTATGTGTTGGGGGGATCTGGCAGAGTGCCTCGTGGATGTTTCTCTGTGCTGCGGCGTTTCTGTCATCTCTCCAGCTGACTGTCGTCCAGTCCATTAATCAGTCAGTCAAGGTCTGAGCGGCTTGAGGACCCAAAGCACCCTGTGGTGGGGGGTGGGCAGAGATGCCGCTGGGGGAGGAGGAAGTGAATCCACCAGCTCCAGGTCAAGGAGAAACCCAAAATTGTGTCACAATACTGAAAATGAGTCACAGACATTTTTTTCTTCTGATTGTTCCTAAAATGTGAGGAATGACTTTGTTACTAAATGTTTCCTACTACAGTGAACCAGCAGAACAGCATGTGGATGAACTGAGGGGCATGTGGTTGGAGCCCAGAGTGTGAGGGGTGAAATGTTGGACAGAGCATGGTTCTTAGGAAGGAGTGAGCGCCACCCTGTGCCCTGCTCCAGCTTCACTCTGATAAATAATTATGTGAATTATTTAAATGCTGTGTTCATTTTAAATTGAGTGGTTGCAAGATTTTTAATGGTGTTCTCCCAGAAATCAAAAACACACACACAGCAGCAGAAGTTTGTTTTTTGTTTTTGTTTTCTCTCGGTGACAGACCTGCTGGTTTTTTTTTAAGAGCCAATTCTTCGATCAAAGGTCAAAAGGTCAAGGGCTGACCTAAGGGACTCTGGGCAAAGCAAGTCTAAGTGCCTATTTATGAAGTGCATCTAAAATAATGTATTTAAAAAACTTTCATCAACAGAATAATGGCAGTGATTCAGTTGTTGTTTTCACTATGAAAATATGATTTCATTATATATTTCAATATCCAATATGAAAATCAGCAGTAATGTACATTAACGTGCTGCTGCTTTAACAGCATTTATCAGTTTAAACACAGGTTTAGGTATTTTATATTTTATATTTCACTGTTTGTTTAAAATGAGCTAAAATGAACCGACACTAAAGCAGCTGCAGGGGGCGCTCCCTTTGATATTTGATTTTTTTTCTTGTGGTTTTCTACCATCAAAACATAGTCACTGCGCTACCTGCTGGTTATCAGCGGAACATCACGGCGTCCAAAACTGGGGCCGCAAACCTCAGGTGTGCGTGTGTGTATGTTCTAATTAAAACAGTGTGTGTCTGTATGTGTGGGAGAGGTCATTAGCATAGAACAGATGGGGCCCTGGCCCCTCGTCATTGTTTACTGTGCTTTTTGTCTTGCTGCTCATCCCCATTCCCCTGCAGACGCTGTGTGGGACACGCAGGAGTTCACTGACGCTTTTGTTTCTGTGAATGTTCTTTCAGAAACGACATCTGCACGAACCTGACTCTTGCTCACTATTTATCCCTGTGAAAGAGGTGACGACGTTGGGGAGGAAAATGTTAACTACCTGTTCAGATGTGATCAGGTGAGATCAGATGACTTTACAAAATATGTTTATTTTACTAATGATAAATCAACAGAAAACACATCTTATTTACTCATATATGATGAATGACAATATGTTATCGATAGGCAATGCTAATGCTCTTATTAAATAATTTATTCATAAGGTATTTGATAGGTTTGCTGTAAGATCATCAACCTTTTGACTACAATTCAAAGCTATTCCAGCTCCAGATGAACAGTCCAGGTTCAGAGTTCAGGTCAGTCTACCCAGATGTGAAGAGTCCAGGACTCACTCAAAAAATTTTATTAACAAACGATTTTATTTTCTGGACTATAAGTCACTCAGAAGTATGAGTTGCACCAGCCATAAAATGCATAATGAATAAGAAAAAAAAGCATATAAAAGTCACACCAGTCAAAGGATGAAAAAAGGTGCGACTTACAGGAGTTACAGATACTGGTACACAAGCCTAGAGTGCCCTCTAGCGGCTGTCAGTGTGAAAATAACAAACATGTGAAATTATATATTTTGATATATAAGTCGCACCTGAGTATAAGTCGCAAACCGAGCCAAAGGCTGAAAAAAAAAAGTGTGACTTATAGTCCAGAAAATACGATAAATGTCTTCAGTAATAATAAATGTAACCTGCACTCAGACCTGATCCTGGTTTGTGTCATGTTATTGTTCATGTTCTCAAATACTGTTCTGTCCCATATTCAGGTCCAAAAGGTTCTTTATGGTCCTGCTTTTCACACCTGATGACTGCAGCAGCTCCCGACGTCGGCAGCGCCCATGCAGTACTCTGATCATAAACAGCTCCTTCATATTAAAAACCAGATAATAACTCCCAGAATGCTCTTTGATCAGATTAAAAACACTTCATACAGGAAGTGGTCTTCGGCAAGCGGACGGCAGGACGGGAGCAAGGGAGCTGTGCTGGAAAACAAATTATTTGGAGGAAGCGATTATAACAAACCGCAGTAGTTCCCTGGAGTGATGCAGTAATATTAAAGTCATGTACACACGGAGGTGAAAACACGCGCACACTCCCGCCGACATGATGGACGTCTAAATTAGAACAAGGAGAGAAACAGGAAACTGACAGAGCGACGATGGAAGCCTGGGGTGTTACAGTGCATCAGTAAGTTGTTGATTTTTGAATCAAGTGGTTAAATTCGTTTACAATCTAAGACGTGTCGTTACAGAACAACAAGTGCGTCTGAAACTAAACCATCATCAAGGTTGGGGCAAAACAAAAGAGGAGGAGCCTTTACTGATGAAAGAACATCCTTGTCCTTGTCCACCAGTAAGAGTTCAGGGACCAGGTCCACATTCAAAGATGGGGATTGTGTCACGATGCCAAAGAAAAGGTACATTACAGAGAGAGAACAGGTCAATATTTTCAGAAACAATGATTAACTTTAAGAACAATGGATCAACCAGGTTGGCCCATGTTTAGAATAGAACAGAATGTAACTTTGTCAAAATATTACTCCATTATCTGTTAGGCCGTCCCATTCCCTGCCACTAGATGGCAGGGAGAGGTTCAGCCAAAGGTATAATGGACACACACACACACACACACACATACACAGTGTGTCACCATAAGTATAACTGCACCATGAATCACATACACACTTGACTGCTTCCTCTGTATTTCCCCCAGGTCTGTGCTGTTGCTGTGCAAACCCCTGAGGGACAAACAGGAACTGTTAACGGAGCTCCGCCTTCATCTGGCCCCAAAATCACCTCAACACTGGCTCCAATTAAAGCTCACCAACATCTTTCCAGCCGTGACACCACCTGCAGGTGTTGGGGTTTAATGAAGGACAGGTGAGTCAACAAAAGCACACAGGTGGTCTGTTGATTAGTAAAGTACAGGTGCTAAAAAAACAGAGTATCTTCTTAAATGTTTTTCGGATTATTTGGGATTATTTCAGGTGTTGGAAATTTGAAAAAAAATTGAAAAATGATTTTAAGAACACACTGCAATTGTTTTTGCTGCTCAATTTTTACCATCCATTGCTAGCAGGTGATGCAATAACTGTGTGTATACTGTATGTTAGTTGGAGGGCTTATCATATGTTTTCCGGTTTTAAGTACAGAACTTTTTTAGTATTTTCCTCTTTTTTCCCGTTTTTTTAAAGCTCAAGGAACTTTATGCCCTGACAGAACCACAGAGAAAAAAAATGAATATATAACATTCCTTTTTTTACCCCGAAAGTCAAGGACTGACCCCAATATTACCTGAAACAACTGCTGTAAAACAGCTGTAGGGACTATCCATAGTGGAGACCAAAATTAAAAATCAGTTTCTTGTGGGAAAGGGGCACAAAAGGTTTTCCTGGTCCATTAAGCTCTAGAAAATCCTTAGCAGTCTGGACTTTCCCACACCTTCCCCCGCTGGCGTCCTGCAGCCTTCTGTGATGAAGCCTGCAAGTGATTGGCTCTCCAGCTGCAGCGTTATGGATCGGCTCGCTCTATTCACTTTGTGATTTACTGCTTTTAACACACGACACTAAAACCTGCCGTCTTAGTTGAACTTGGCTCGCGACCAAACTCAATTTTGCCTAATTAGATGTGATTGCACGTTGAGGCTCCAGCGAACAGGCCCCGGCCCTGGATTTCTTATGTGTGTGTCAGTCGGCCAGCCGCGCCTCTACTCTGTTACAACGTTCTCCAGTTTTTGGCAGAACAAGGAAATGTTCACTTCTCATTGAGAAAAAAATAATAATTTGGGTCTGAGTTAGGAGCGGTTTCAGATGGGGGGAGTTTGAGGAGAGGGGGTAACTATGAGGAGAGGAGATTGAGGAAAATTGGAGGTCAGTCTTTATGTTCAGAGTTAAACAAACTGAAGCTGAGTTATGAATAAGTGGATTTAAAATGGAACACATGTTAAATCGACTCTACTTCATTATTTTTTTTCCCACTGTGGAAGTCAGTGTGGTAGTCTGTGTGCGCGTTCCCACAAGTTTGAGGAGAGGGGGTAACTATGAGGAGAGGAGATTGAGGAAAATTGGAGGTCAGTCTTTATGTTCAGAGTTAAACAAACTGAAGCTGAGTTATGAATAAGTGGATTTAAAATGGAACACATGTTAAATCGACTCTACTTCATTATTTTTTTTCCCACTGTGGAAGTCAGTGTGGTAGTCTGTGTGCGCGTTCCCACAAAGTCCTACGTCGCTGTGACACTGAAGGACACTTGATCATGATTTCTCCCTGTGTTTCTGTACTTACTGAGTCACAATGTGACATCATCATCACAGCTGCAGAATTATCCGACTTGGCTGGGGTTTTGTGGACAGTCATGGTTACACAACAGCCACCACTGTGTCTCTTTGTTTTTGATGGAACCAAAGAAAAACATTGGTTTTCTCTCTCGAGTTATGAATGAAGCCCTTTAAAGAATCCCCTTTTCTGGTTCTTGATTAATGAATGATGATTATTATAAGTATTAGCCTGGAACAACCTGTGACGTGGGATTTAATCTGATTTACCTTATCTCTTAAAAGATGGCAGTAAACCTTTTAGTGTCTACTCCGATCAGTTTTTTTTTACATATCTTTATCATAAAATCACTAATTCACTTGTCTGAGATTAAGAAATAAATTAGAGTCTTTGTCTTTAAGAAGGAGACAGGTCATGTCCATCATGGTGCCTTCACTGGCATTCCGTGTTTGTTGTGCTTTTTCTTGGAGTTTCCCTTCAGTCAGAAACATCTATTATGATTTTTCTTTATGCTGATCATGAAGCTGTTGATAATCAGTAACCAATAATGAAGGTTCACGTCCCTGGATTGGCTTCAGAATCGATATCAGTGACCTAAACTGCAACATGTCTTCATATGACCCCTGACCTGGGCTACTGCTGTCAACATGAGGCCGGTCGAGGCTGAAGTTGAAGCCGTGAGGTAATTGCGGACCATTTGTAGCTCGACAGCTGGGCAGAATTCAGGAGTGCCATTTGGCCCGGAGCACAGAGGAGGAGATGCCACATGTTCTATTAAAATGTGATGATCCTGGCTCCCACTGTGCCACCGCCACTGACACCGCTGCCACCACCACCTCCACCCGGGGTGATGTCCTGCTCTTTAGGGCCTTAATGGGAGAAAGTCACAGTCCTCCCTCTCTCCCTCTCTCTCTCTTTCTCTCCCCCTGTTTCCCTCTCTCTCTCTTTTTCTCTTTCTCTCTGTAAGTTATTTACCTCAGCACTTGGCCTCCTCTTTTATGTGCCAGCGGCTGTGCGTTTGTGCTGCTTTTGTTTTTTGGCCAGATGTTTGTGGCCGCAGTTGCTCAGGGACAAATAGCCGCGGCCCAGTTTGGTTTTATTTAAGACGTGTGAGAGCAAGACGTGAGAAAAACGCGAACACTGAAGAGGGCAAGCACGAGGCCATGGCTGGTAGTGTGTCGATCGCAGCTGGAGGAGAAGCGGATGTCAGGATGCATCAGCGTCCGCGACGGAGGAGGAACGGGAGGTGCAGATGGTGTTTAAAGTGAAAGATTTGTCCGAGATGTTGACTCGTTTAGAAATCTAAATGTATCGCTTCACTTCATGGATTAACAAACAGAGTGATGTGAGTGAGTCACTGTGGTGGCAGCTGGTGGAAGGAAAAGCATTTAGCTCCATGAGAAACAAAACCCATTTGGACTTTTGCCACAGAAAAAGGATATGTATTGATATTACTGTTTTTTTTTTCATATAATTATTTTGTTAATTAATATCAAATATATAATTCTAATTGAGGTCACAATAAATTAAATATTACTGCCTTATACAGTAAGCAAAACTTCTAATAGGATCACAAACATATATTTATGTCTAATTTAAATCAACTATTTTAATTAGTAATTTATGCTCACACTGATAAGGTGGTTAAAATCAATCAATCAATCAGACAATCCATCAATCAAAAACAACCAACAACACATATTAGAAGATTAAAATGTTAGTTTATTTATATATTTATTACCAAAGCTAAGAAAGTCAACACTTTTTCAGATTAAACAAAATATTTGAAAATACAGTGTGATGTCTAAATTATGGAAAAATACATTATTATTATTACAATTATTTTAAATACAGAAATAATGTAAAATAATTGTAATTATATTAACATTTAACATTTGTCACTTAAATTTGACTATTAAGTATTAATATTGAGTAATAATAAGTAATAATAATAATAATAATTTACCCCGCTCTTCGTTAAAACAGGCACCAATGTTAAAACCAACATGATGGCGATGTTATAAAAATGACTATAATGAGTCTTGTGAGTTCTAAGTGTAGAAGTGTGGTTGAAGACAGGAACCAGGTACCGACCTACAGTAACAGCATCAGTGTGTACACTCATCCTTGCCGTGCCACTTAGCACTGTTTACCCCGCTCTTCTTATTCCTTCTGTGCACCAGGCCATCAAACCTATAGCCTCACTTCACCCACCGTGGCTTGACTTTATCTGGTTAACATCTGCTGATGCTGTTGTTCAGGCGGAGCTTTAGTCATCTGAGGGCGTGGCTTGTACCACGTACCAGTGGGAACTAAGTAGAGCAACTGCAAATTGCCGAGTTTGGGTAAACGGCTTAAATACCTCAGAGCCTATGGCCACCACCGCACCCTTGTTCCCATCATGGCTGCCACGCGCTACTGCAGATCATGCTAACCATACAACTGTGCAACTCCGTTCCCCTCCTCCTTCTACTCCACCTACTTTCATTTCATCTCTCCTTCCCTTCCTCTCTCTTTTTATTTCCCTCCGGCTGCGTCTGCTCTCTTTACAAAGCCCCGGAGCATTATCAGAGCATTACAGCGCGCAGCATGTGTTTGATTAAAAAAGTGTAAAGTTACAAATTAGTTAATAAAATCATTTAGGCCGATCGCTGCAAATGGTGATGAATGTCTTCCATATGTTCCCAATAAAACAGCAAAGTGCCATGTGCCCGTCCCCTCTGTCTTCGCCATAAACAAATAAATTAAAACAATTACTGCGCCGAGCACCTTCCACGTCTTTAATGAGAGCGTAGCTGTGTGAAATATGTGACAGCTCTCGTTTGCCCAGAGCGGCGGCCGCTGCTGTGGAGAAGCTGTCGGCCATCGCTCAGATAAATTGCTTCTTTACTCGCACATCAGCATTGGTTTCTCTACAAAAGGAACTGAAATAGGTCAGAACGCAAACCACCGAGGCAGGTATGATCTGGTCTGGTGTAAGGCTGCTATAGAGGGGGTAGAAAAGTCAGAAGAATGCCATGACTAAAAGTCCATAAAGAGGCGGGAGCAGAAAGTTTACGGAGCAGGCATGATAAGAGTCCATGTAGAAAAAAGGCTTCTCCTTCAGGGGTAAGAGGGAGTCCACAGATGGGGGAGAGGAGAGAGAGGGGTACTTGGTGTAGGAACGGCAGAACAACAACAGAGGAGGCGAGAAAGGCCCTATCACAGGCAACAGAGAATCCAAAAAAGACACTTGGGGCCACGTGTAATTCTCAAAAGGAAAATTGAAAGTCCATTAAGGGCAGGAGGAGTCTGAGGAGGAGTGGTGACTGAAGAGTGGTTGATGGTTGAATTGTCTACAAAGAGAGTGTTTAAGAGCAGCAGAAGGTCCACATGAAATCCTAACACAGGTGACAGTCTATTAAGTGAGGCTGTATGTGACTCAATCTGGACTTGATTCAATGACTTGGACTTTTACTCAGATCACTTAGTCCAGTCGTTTGTAGTTGGCCTTGAAGACATTGACTTGAAACCATTGAGGTGATTTTGACTTGGCTTTGGACTTGAACACCAAGGACCTGATTACAACACTGCCCTGAAGATGTATTAGAGGCTTGGAGAAGCAGGGAGAAAATGTTCACATTTTCACCTAAACCGTGACCCTGTAACTGGTTCTAATGTGTGAAAGTAACATTTGGTGACTTTAACAATTGCATCAATATAAATGGTACACTTAGAAAACTGAAATCATGTATACTGCTACTGAGACAGGAAAGTCAAAGAGAACATGTCTAGAATAATTAAGATGTCACTGATTTGAATTCAAACAACTCTGTTATACCCCTCACAGTCTCCCCCAGATGGCCAAACAATAAAACTGCTCCTCGCTCTTTGGCAAAGCTATTTCAACCAGGAGACAATGTTCCTGTTATTAACAGTCTGTGGACTGAACATCTTTAACCAGCAGCTGAGGAGCCGGTGCGCGTGTGTGTATCTTTGTGTGTGTGTGTCCAGCCTGTGTGTGGGAATTTCTGTATGTGTGTCTTTATGAGGATTTGGGACACAGCCATAGTTTTAATGGGACTCAGGTAATGGTCCTTACACTGACCGTGGGGGGTGGGGCGGCTGAGGGGGAGTCCAGTGTACTGACCTTCACAGTGAGGAGGACTGAGCGCAGCACGGTCATCTGGACTGGGCACATAAAAACAAAATAAAACACCATAGAAGCAGATGAGAGGAAATGAGCCTTTTAATTGAAGCATTCATTAAAAGGTGCAGAAGAAGAATCAGGGTGGGGGAGGAGGGAGGGTGAGGTCAGAGATCAGAGAGAGCCGAGTGGGTACACACACCTGGAGGAGATGTAAAAAAAAAATGTTAACAGACCAAAGTTGAATTGAAATTAAACTAAAATGAAACTTTCTGTCACTGCGATGTTTTTCAGATGTTTTTTCTTAGTTAGTAGATTTGTTATGAACTACAACAGTGACGATAAAGCTGAAACACAAAGACAGTAACTGCATCAGTGACAACTTCAACAGTTACTCTGATTGCATCAAGAATACTGATAATGACTAAAACAGTAAGAGCAGCATTGTGTTTAGTGGAATGTGACTGTGTGTGTGTGTGTGTGTGTGTGTGTGTTTCAGAGGGAGATGGGGGAAAGTGTAGCTGGTGGGTGGTGGAGATGGAGGCAGAGAGATGCAGTGGGAGCCACAGAGAAGGATGGCAGTCTCTCCTACAGTTTGCCATGTCGTGGTTCGTTTTTCCTCCAGATGGAAACTCATTTTTTATTCGTCTTCAGCGTCTCTTCACATCTGTCGTTGCAGATGTCTAATGAATTCGGGAGCAGGCCGTGCTGTCGCCTCATTAATACTGCACTCGCATGGGGAGCGCGGCCGGCCCGGCTGCGTCACGCCGCCGCCGCCTACCATGTCCCGCCACGGTGCCGAAGCGCCACATTCCACTGCTGCGGTGTCCTCAGGGCCCGGCGCCACCAGCTGGTGCCTCACAGGAACAAAGCTGCTGCACGCTGTCGGCCTAATGCTTCTCTGTGTTGTCACTTAGGGTCTTTATTGGTATTAATTGATGTGATTGGAGTAACTTCAGCCCCCCTACTCCTCACCCCCACTCCTGCCTCTCCCAAAACACCATCACCTTCGCACCTCACCTTCTATTCTCACTACAGTTCTAAACAGGTGGAGCTATATCAGAGGCTCCACCTACTGCGGAAGGTGAAGTGTTTTCAAACAACAGACCACCCGACCCTGCCCACCGACATCTGTTGTAGAACTGTAACTGACAGATGGAACATGGCTGTTTCTGATTCCTTTATGTTTTACTGATGGAAAATCAAAGGGTTGTTGATCGTTGTTCAGATGTTTGAATCCACGACAAAGGAGGAAAACATGAATCTGCTGTCAAGTATTATCACAAATTATATTTGTGTTTATGACAGCGGCTTTTAACAACAAAACAATGGTCAATTTGAATTTGATGGAGGTTCATTTGGTTGTCTGGTTATACTTTAGTAAAAGGTCATTTAACTTGACACAACTAGATTCAGCACTGATTAGACTGATAGTTGCATCCAAATAAGCTCAAAATATTATTACATGTGCAATGCAACATCAACCACTTCCTAAGAAGACCAGTCTTTTCCATGTTCCGCACTTATTTTACTCAGCATATTTTACAAACAATAAAGACTAGAAGTTGATGTAGCATGGTGACGACAAGTGGTTATAGAGTTTGTTCGTTGTCAGGAAGCTGTAACAGTTTTTACCTCATTATCTTTTTCTTTTTCTTTTTAGGAAAATGCAGTATTTGTTACACCTCCTGAATGTGATGCCAACATGGGCCTGGAACCTTGTGTTCAAGGACACACTAAGGTTAGGATTTCTCTCTCTTATGTTAACTGGACTTCATCAGATCATTTCACAGAGAGACAGTTAGATTTAATCTGTAATAAAACACAGTCATTAAGAAGTGACTGTGACCTTCAGGGTCCACTCAGCTGTCACACTTGGAGCTTTTGTCAGTACTTATCTCTGTCCAAGTTGACTATGTCTGTCACACTCACTGTGCAGAGGTGGAAATGAAAATATATGTTCAATTAGTTTTAAAGTACTTTGGGTCTGCGTATAATTAATTGGTTATCGTGTACTTTGCTTTGTTTAGACACAGGAACACAGCAAAGATCCAAACATGAGGGAAAATCAAACTACAAGATTAAAAAACAGCAGTGGAAGTAGATGATGAAAATCATTGAAACATTTTAGAAACTGATGTCAGCGGTAATGTTGCCTAGGCTGAGTTGTTCTCAGGTTAGCAAATGCAGTCAGGCAGATTGTTGAACTTTTTATATATGCTCAACATAGCATTACAAGTGCAATGTAACATGAGACATCATTTCACTTTTTCTTTTCAGCCACTGTGTTAAACTGCATGGCTACATACACTTTTGTTTCCATTACTCTTTTTCTAAATTTTCTAAATTCTAAATTCCATGCTAATCCCACCTGCTGTCCAAATTCATCTGTGAAAAATAAGTAAATCACTAGATGATGATGTATGACAGAAATGTATGCATCCAGTGATCCACTGCATTTGTAATGTTATTTTGAACAAGTTAAATGGAAAAAGCATGGCTAGGTCTACTTAACAGGTTTACTTCATGTTTTAAAGTTTCCTATAATCGATTAAATTATATTTGGATAATAATGTACGGAACCATTAAAAAGTGAGTCATGGGTGTTGGTCCTTTTATCAGCTAGAACTTTTTCCACACAGCTGCTTAAATTCAGCTGACAGGAGGCCAGAGCTGAAGCACGGTCGATTTGGAGTTAGAATTAAAGAAATAAGAGACATGAAAGTTTAATTATCACTAGAGCTGAACGTGTCATCAAAGATGTTTTCATTTCCGCTGCTCACGCTGAATGAGTTAAGTCAAAAACTCTCCTTGATATATGTTGATAAGTGTAAATTTAATTTCTGCTGCGACAGACAACTCACCGCGCTGACACATGAACACATGAAGTTTGCGTGAACGCTACACTCGAACAAGCCTGCGTGTCAGCAGACACTGTCACAACATTGCATTCAGTGCTGGTGATGACATGTGCGGTGGTCACATGACTGACGCCTGTTCCATGCTGTCCTGACATAATATTAAATAAAAGCTCTCGAACTGCAGGCACTGTCAATTATAGAAGACTGAGGAGGAGAGGAGGAGAAGAATAGGGAGCAGGAGAGGGATTGCCTTCACATTCAGAGGCAGGTGTTTCATAATAAAACGTCCCCCCGGTAACTGAGACAAAGTTAATGTGTCTTTAAATATAAAAAACATTCATTAATTATTTACTTTACTGATGTTTTCATCATCATCATCATCATAACAGTGATGGTCATGATGTTCTGACGACCAAACTTAAATACTTCAATCTGAGGACGTGACTGCGTTTCAGTGAACTTTATTTTACAACCAGCTATAAGTACAGACGTTTATCCTCAGTGAAAACATAAAGAATCAAAATCAAGCCACTTATTAAACTGTTACAATGGGTTTATACCATTTTTACAATTTATGTCAAACTTTCACATAATAATATACAGTAGTTGGCAAGAAGCTCCTCTGATGTCTTGAAGTAAGATCTGTTTTCCTATAAACATAAAATTCCCTAAAATTACTTTTCTAACGTTTCAATTAAAAAATGTAATCCACCCATTACCTCCTTAGTTAGAAAACAACAACCAGGCAGTTTGTAACAGACCAGTTACATTTTTAGCAGGGAAATTAAGTTTACAAATTTACTTTCTTTCTTTGCCAACGTCTTCAGAAAATAGAGAAATCAGTTTGACCCCGTCTGGCCTAATCTAACGTCAGCAGCTTCCTCTAATGACTTTGGTGTGTTGGGAAGAGCAGTTTGCAAAGTTTGTCTAGCAGCTAAATTGAGCATTGGCCGTTCTCTTATTGTCAAATTAAGCTGACATGGAATACCTGAGTTACATGTGGAGTGGAGAAGAACATTTGAAGTGGTGGTGTGGAGGCAGCAGCTGCTTTAAATCACTGTTCTCCAGGTGTCGGCATGTCGTGTCTAAAGGTCACCTTATCTAAAGACTATGACACAGGTGGCTCCGCCTGCTGTTCCAGATGTTTTTTTTTTTGTAGCATCTCACACCTGTTGCATGAGATGACCTGCAGTGACCTCAGTAGGGTGTGGAAGGTCACATGTTCTTCCCATTGCACTTGAATGTCCTGATTTTCCTGTCATTTGACTTAATAATTAATAATTAAGACTTTTTGAAGTAGTTGGAGTAGGACAGGGGTGTCGAACTTAAAGTCACAGTGAGCCAAACACATCAGTGGTATTCATTTCTTACTGTCTCTTTATCTGTAGCCTTTCCAGTTCCAGGAGATGCTGGATGTGTTGATGTCTACATTGATGATCTTGTTGGTGGATTAGACAAAGCCAGATCGAAGAAATGAAACATTGACTTATGTGATTTGGTGAACTCAAAAAATGTAATTATATGACCCAAAACATCTTGAAAATATAATATACTTTGTGAATATTTTGTAGGTGAAGAGCCAAGATCTGGTCACTTTGTGCCAAAGGCAAAAGTGGGTGACCAGCAAGGTGACGAGTGGAGACCTGGAGATCAACAGGCTGCCAAGAGATCCAGATCTGGGCCATCTTTAAAGGCAGCAGAGATGTCGTCTTGATGGCTCTGAGCACAGTGCGTCAAAATACTAGGACACAGTCTGGATCACCTGGGTGTCTGATACCAAGGTCTGAAGCATCTGATCATCCTAGAGGATCAACAATGGTGAGTGAATGTCTCATTTAGAACTGAAGTATACAATTTATACACAGTCGTGTTTATAAGAACCATATATGACAATATGAGCTGTTCTAACACACACACACACACACACATCCAGCAGGACGTGTTGCATGAATAAATGATCAGTATAAAATGAATAAGTCATGTTGACATGTACGACAGATGAATAATGAAAAGTGTGTTTTTCTTTACTTGTCTTTGTCTCTAAACTCAACCTGGAGGCTTTTCAAATTAAAGCTCTTCTGTTCTCATGTCATATACCCGCACACACACACACATTCACACACACTCTCTCTCTCTCATAGAGCTTCAGGGGAAACAGACGCTTTGTGCAAACAAACAGTGAAAATACAAATTGATTCAAATGAAGTAAATCTAATCTTTCTGAATTAATTTACCACAGGAGTGTTTAGAAGTTGTGACATTTTGTCTACTTTTATAAGAAGAAGCTAATTTCCTATTTAATTAAAAAGAAGAAGCTGCTCCATTTTAGTCTACAAAATATACTTACTTAACAAAAGCTAATTATATTTTATTCAAAAAAAAATATTTTTTTTTAGCCAGGTTTAATTAAAAAATTATAAAAAAGGCAAAGCTTAAAAAGACAATGTCAAAAATGTGTGTAAAATGTACTTAAATGCACAATATATAAATACGATTTAAAAAAACACATTTTCAACATATTTTTAAAACAATCTGTTGTTTTAAAAATATGTTTGTTTTAAAACAATCAAATCTATGATAAAGTTAAGGACAGAGAATAGAATGTTTAAAAAAAGATTTTTAAAAGACTTTTAAAATTAAGACTCATTAAAACCTCTGTTTAAATAAACATAAAAGTGAAAATAAACATAGGTTGACAATGTGTATTTAAAATAAGACCAGCAAAAAAAGATTTGAAGTGTTTATATTTTCAAATTAACATTTTAATTAAGACATTTAACAGAGACTCTGATTAACCATAGATTGACCCTGGAATGACCCTAACTGACCTCTGTCTGGTACAGATCTACCTGCGACTGTTCCCCTGTCACTCAGCCCATCATCTCTCACGGTTGCCTTTAGCCTCCTCCTGTCTCTCTGTGAATATTTAACCTCCGTTCTCACCTGCGTCTTGTTAAAGACGTGCAGCGTCACCCTCCATGCCGTCGGTTTACTCTGATAACACGCCGGGTCACTGGTAGACGTGGTGCTGAGATAATTAACCCCTCTGATTAGTCCAATTAACCCCGACACATTAGCGCTCATCACAGCCGAGTGTTGACTTTTCCTCCAGAGCCTAAACACAGCAACACTGTGTCTCTGCAGGAAATGATGATCTGGCTGCTCTCAGGTCTGCTCTGGCTGTTAGTGTCTGTCAGCCAATAGAGCGTGGCACACTGGACAGGTGAATGACCTAAGAACAAGCGCATGTCAGTGTAGGATGTAGTGTACTGTACACCACCTCCCACTGATTTCCCGTTTGCTCAGTATTCCTCTCTCATTAATATAAAGTGAAGGTTTTTTTATGTTTTTTTTTAATCTTTTTTTTAATGGTGTTAAAAATGAAAAAAAAAAATTGTAATGTGCCGACCTAGTATTTAGTCACCCTCTCGTAATAAAAGAAAGGGAATCTTCAATATTAGTTAAGTGTGAATGGATCACATTGTGGTGTAAACCTAACCTCACCTCTGATGTTTAACAATAATAGGAAACAGCACAAACAGGCATTCACTTATTAAAATGGTTAGAGAAGGCATGTGTTTGTAGTTGATGTGGTGGTGTTGGGGAGATGGAGGGGGTGCAGCAGTAGTAATTAAAACCTCTGGAGATGTGACTGCACCTCCTCCTGCTCCCCCACCTCTCCTTCAGAGGGTGAGACATCAAGTGTAGGTGGAAAGGAACAAACGTTGGTTGTAATTAACAGCTAAAATAATACAGTAATGAGATTATGAGATGAGTGATGAGAGCAGAAGGTTAAACAACCTGAGGATGATCGTAGTTTACTGTCTCAGGAAACAGACAAGTGACTCCCCTCAGCAGGATAAAAGACTAACTGACCCAACTTCTATAATCAGGAAAGAGAGGTATTTTTGGGTTCTGTTGAATTATCTCCTAATAAAGATCCAGTTTCAGTCCATTCAGTTTTTGTTATTCATAGAGTAGTTGTTATACTGCTTACATGCAGAAGGCCCTCGGTTCACGCCCCAGAGGAACCCTGTCGTTGGTGCCTGCTGTTGCAGCAGATCTGATGTTAACAATTACCTCAATGTGGCATCAAGAACCACTCATTTCACTATTGTGAGAAAGCTCGACACTCCGTGAAAATTAGCCCGAAAAAAACTGTAGAAATCATTGTTGAGTTGCTATCATGTTATCAAGAAAAAAAGCCTCTGGACTATTAAAGATTTTGTGACATGTAGCAGAGGAAAATAGTATTTAATTTCTTTGCGTGTGGAGTCCCACAGTTGTTGTATCACTTTGACCAAATCTTTCAGCTTGATTGATTGCGATCTCTATGCGTGCCAAACCGTCCCCACCTCGTCTTTTTGTATGTCCACACGTCACTTCGTCTTCCATTATCACATGCATTTTTCATTTCGTCTCGAGGTATCACTCCTGCACCTCTTCAATTCCCTCCATTTTTCCACTTGACTTTGTCTATGTACATTAGCTGTTTAGTCTCTCCATTTGTTTGTCTCCATGTGTCTGTGTCTTACCCTGCCTCATGTCTCTTTGATAGACTGTTGATAAGATGTTCCTAATGTGTGAATCAGTTTTCTTTCTTTTTAAGGAAAAACTACACTGGGTAAAAACACATAAACAGACACATACTGCATATGTTAGGAGCACAATCAACACTACAGTACAACCTGATGATGTACTCCTGATGTGGCTGTGTGTGTGTTTGTGCACATGCACTTTCTCACCTAATTTAAAGATTAGCATAAGAACTGCTGACATGTGGGATCCTCGGGGAGTGTCAGCTAATATTCATGATGGTATCAGCAAAAAACAGATTTAAAACTCCAACACTGTCTGATGTTATCATGGACATTTACTATCAATTAATGCAATGTAAATCTCTCTGACAAATCACTTTACATTAACTTATTGGTGAGCATACAGTAGCCTAATACAGTGGAATATATTATATAAATCATATTGAGTATATATGATGTCAGTTCTTAATTACAATACATTAAAATTGTTAAAATCATATAAAAAGTTGCTAAATATCATTGATTTTTCCCCATCTTTTTTCAACTAATTCAGTTTGTTGTATTCTCAACAACAACAACAACAACAACAATAACCAGGCGTCCCACCTTTAATGTAACCTTTGTCTCTGACTGCCTGCAGCGTGGGACGACGGGTGAGGAACTTCTTCAACCGGTACATTCTGAACAGAAGCCTTTTTCTCTCGTCCCTCCGTCTCCAGCAGCAGCAGCAGTACATTCACTCTGCTCCTTTGCCTCTTCAGCTGTTTGCACATTTGCAGCGCTAACAATGTGTTGACATCACGCTGACATCACCCAGATGTCAGAGACATCTGCCTCCTGCAGAACAACCATGGTAGACGTCTCATTGTTCCGTCTCGTGTTAACAGCTCAGACCTGAAGTTGACACACTTTCACAGAAAGAAACACAATCTTTAGTTGAAGTGAAAATTACATTTTTATCTGCTCAGAACTGTTTCCTGTCAGTAAAGCTGCACTAGGTGTAGATAAAGGTAAACGCTCACATTTAATCTGGATGAAAGAAAGAGGAAAAAAAAGAGAGACAACTCACCTTCAATCCACTTAGGTGTACTACTGTGACACAAAGAAACCTGAAGGGGGCAGTCTAAAAGCCATTAAGCAAATAGAAGAACAGCTGCCCTATTGAATAAATAAATTAAATATTTTTTTGGCTCATTGATGTCAGGTCTGTCTGTTTCCTTTCCTGCTTTATCTGCTGCTGGTGGAGTTCATCAGTGTGATCACCCTCACCTGTGTCTCTGTCATCAGTCTCACTGGTGTCAGTCACTGGTGTCACCTGGTGACATGGTGGGATCATTGTTCAGTTGGTATGTGTAGTTCATAGTCCCTGTGCTGCTGAGGCCCTGTAGTTTAAGCCTTGTTCTTGTGACCAAGTGAGTTTTTGTTCTTTTTGCATTTTTTAAATAAACCTGCTGCTGCAGTTAAAGAGAGTCTCCCCTGTGCTGCATTTGGCTCCTGCCTGCTTCCTGCCATGTTGACATGTAACAATAGATTTGGCTTCACAACCAAATATAAGAGAGAACCTTTAATATCCAGTCCATATTTCAAATTCAGTGGCCCATATCAAAATCTGGCCAGCAAAATATGAATACCAGATTAGCGCTATCTAGATTCAGGCTCTTATATAATGTGGCTCACGTTCTTCATACATGAAAAAGTTCCCATTTGGTTTACTTTGACTGAATATTCTCATTTAATTCACATATATCTATTAATAACACACACAATGTGTATATATTTAAATATTTGTGTGTACATATGTATATACAGTACATGCACATATATATTTTTCACGTGAGAATACCATTTTAATTTTAACATTGAATTGTTGCATTAGGACTAAATCACTGCAATTCAATTGACCAATAGAATGTGTTCACAACTGTTTGTGCAGCATGTACCTTTGATGAAAGGTGGCGCTGTATCAGTCATGTGAATGTATTAAAGATATATAAGTATATATATTTTTACGTACTGTGTAAAGGTGAGTGTGAGGATCCGGAGAGTGGAGTTTGTATTTGTGTGTCTGCTAAAGCTGAGCTGTGGTTCAAAACTGAGTCTTTAAACAACTGGAGATAAAACTTAATGCTCAGCCAGATCTTTTCACACTTCCAGGTGATTTCAGGTGATTGAAAGAGTGGAGACTCTGCGCTTCATTAACTCCAGCTTCAAATGGATATGTGGCAGAGAAGCCCATAATCCCTGTTGCAAGGTTGGACTGGCATCGCTGCTAATGAACCCGAGAGCTCAGCATCGTCTCGGGTCAGGATTCTTCACTACACACCACCTGACTGCTGTTTGAGATTCAGATCAGAGACAGAGGAAAGTATGAATTTTTACATTTCTTTTTCATTCCAAATATTCAAATCTGTTAATATGTATTTCTTTTAAATGAACAAACGCTGCCTTTGTGTCTCCTCCTGTGTCTCCTTTCTTTATTGTGTTGTTGAAACATCATAAAAGTGGTTTTGTCTCAAAGACAAACTCTGATCGGTCCATGATGTGACCTTATGTGTGTATGTGGGTTTGTGTGTGTGTGTGTCAGACTTGATCTCTGCCAGGAAGTTCAACTCCCAGTGGACATTAGCTGTTGGAATCCAGAACTGGACACTTCCTTGACACCCACAAAGTTGTGCTGTGGGACAAAACGCTACACACAACCGTGTGTTTGTGTGTGTGTGAGTAAACCAGGCAGTGGGGGCCAGCATGGCTGAAGGCCAGACCATCCCTGAATATTCCTGATGTCCCTAATGAGCGGGAGAGTCCCGGCCGCTCCCTGTATCTGGATGGTTTTTACTACGATGAGTCCAACGAGGGACACGCTTAGATTTAAAAAAACAGAGGAGACAAAGAGCGCCTGTGACCGACTCTTCCTCACTCCAACGCTTCGCCTCGTCCCCTGTGTGAATGAATCCTTGTGAGCAGTGCAGAATCTAAAGATCTGATCTGACGAACACTGGAAATGTGACAGTGGATTGTTGTAGCTGTTGTTGTCAAGTTGCACCATCAGGCTGGACCAGGCCACCTGACCAACTCTTCAAGTTATAAATGTTAAACCCACCAACCTGGTTAGAAAAACTTCACTTCAAAACTTTTGTGAGTGCTCAGTGAAAACAATGACATTTTCTGAGGACAAACTTTTCTAACTTAAGATAAAAAGTTTCCTACACGTTTACATAAATATTTATGTTTGCTTCTGAAAAAAGATTTCATGTGAAGCGTCTCACGTCTTTCACTGCGCGTTTCGCTTCCACTTTAACGACACTGATCTCTTTGTTCCTTCCTGCACAATAATTGCATTGCATTTGAAAAATCTTGGTCTTAATTGTGAGGGAACATTCTAGAAGATCTCCACCAGATGTGGTGGCCGAGACAATGAGCGAGCAAGGACCATTTGCATTTTGTTCTAACGCTGTTGTCACTTTTCTCACCGCTGCCGAGTGGCGCTTACGAGGCAAGGAACAAACCGCTAGCTGCGAATGTTTGTGCCGACTTGTTGGTGTTTTGCCTGCGAGCTGTCGGAGTAAACGGCTCCTCCTGTGGTCGTTAGTGACGGCAGTTGTAATTGGGCAGAATCAGTCTTAGTAAGTGATTTCCTGACTGTCAAACGAGCCAAATTAATTTGAGTGATACTTTTCATTTAGTTAGCATCAAACAGCCCCTCCACTCGGCCTCCATATGGGCGTCTGATGCAATGCTCGCCATTAAACTGCCGTGGCCAGATGTTCCCCTTCCCTTTCCCGTTATCAATGCAAATTTATTCATTAAAGAATTTAATTGTGTCAGTGATTGACAGGCGGCAGCATGATGACTGAGGAATGTTATAAAGCTAATAATCTGTTAGTCTTATTAACTCTGTGTGTCAGCAATATGGCTGTCAACATTTATGTGGATTAACCCTACTAATGTCGCACACACACAAACACACACATCAGCTGCTCACAATGGAAACAGACGGCCTCACTGGTTGGTCGGCAGCTTTTAGTGTTCACAAAAAACACACCAGCTCTACGGTCGCCGCCCCGTCTCCTCAGGGGTGAAAGGTGGAACACTTTGTTTATGCCTTAATGAATATACATATATATATATATATACATTTATATATATATATATATTTATATATTATATAACTATATTATAATATATAATAATATAATAGTTATGTAAATATATATATAACTGTATATGTGTAACTGTCTTTTTCAATTTAAAAAGGGGTTTTAAAGATGTTAAAATTACATTTATTTATTCAAATTCTTAAAATTTATAATATATATATAATTCAAGATTGTATTACAAAAGGTGTTTAATTAAGGACTTTTTATAAAATGGTCCTCTAGAAAAAAAAATAGTTTAAGCCAGTTATAAATCCAATGTCAAGACTGTAACAAAAATAAATCCACACCTAAAATACCTCACCTTAAAAAGTTCCACATTATAAAGAATTGTAAGAATAATTTTATTATAATCTTTAATACCCCTACCCTAAGCTTTGTAATGAGTGAAATAATAATAATATTAATAATAATAATAATAATAATAATAATTATTATTATTGTTGTTGTTGTGATTAATATTAATACCGTTTTTAGTCATTTGAAGAGCATCACACAGTATTACTATTAAAAACCAATAAAACAATGTAAAAACTGTACAAACTAACAGATGTACTGAAACACTACAGATACATTTGAACCTGTATGTTCAACAGAAAAACAAACCTTGATCCAGACTCTCACTGAGAGCTAAAGTGGAATAATCAGAATAAAGAAGTGACATTTATTTTAACATCTCTCTGACGATGTCACAGTCAAGGTCACAAGACGTTGACCTTCTACTGTCCATCATTCATTGACTTTTTCTTCTCTAACTTCTCCGTTTCCTTTTTTTTCTTTTTTCTTAGTCTGTAGTTCCTGACTGACACGCCAAGGTTGATCACCGTGTCTAATTCATGGACTTCTGACAGGCACCCTTGGAGGGCATCGAAGGGCTGTGAAGGACCACCAGAAAAACAGTAAGTAGAGCTGTGTTAAACACATGAGACCTAAGAATCGTTTATTCACACACTGGTCATAGAGGAGGAGTCCAGGAGTCCAGCACAAAGTAACAGACAAGAACGATCGCCTAAATAATGCAGCACTAATGGGAATGATATGTGCTGGAAAAAAAATCTTTATATACAGGTTCATATGTATTAACATATTTCCATGGTTTGATGCTAAACACATGTAAGGTACAGTGAGTCAGGTGGCCTTAAATGCCATAAAGCTGCATACACACGTTTTAAGTGAGTTTTATTAGAGTAACTAATGTATAAAACAAAAGTCAGTGATGGCCATGCCATAAACATGCCTGTTATGTAGCATTATTACTAAGCTAATAAAATAAAGAACCACTTATATTTTGTCTATGTTAATGTGAATTTAAAGACATTTGA